AATGGAGGAGACCCTCTCCATTCTGCATGCACAACGCCGCTAATTACAAAACAGGATGTAGAAGTAGGTTTTTACGTAGCCTGATAGTCTTCTTTTTTTTTCTCCGTGTGCGTCACGAGCAAATAAATCCCTGCATTTATTAGCAGTCGGTCAACGTCGTGCCTTCCTGCCAGGGTTAAGTAAGGTCAGAGCGGTTAAATGGACGAATCAGGTGTTTAAGGGGAACGAATGAATGAAGACAGAAAACAGCATGGATTAAAAAAAAAAAGTCATGTCTAGTGCAACTGGTTTTAAATTTGTATGATAGTGTTCTGCTTGATTGGTTCGGGTCTCTGTCTTGTGAAATGTCTTGAGAGTACATGTGTATGACTTTTTGCCACAGGCTGATTTTAATTGAACTGAATTAGAAAATGAATGCTTACGTATTCAGAATCGATATCATTTATTCTCTTCTTTGTTGCAAAGGGCCCATTATAATGAAGGATGCTTTATGCAGAAGCTTTCTGGTAAATCCAAGAATAAAGACAAGACTAGAGTTTTAGTAGTTGATCAGTTCAACATAAATACATTGTAACAATCTGTAGCCTAAAACCTGCAGCCTGGTTATCTGGTAGTTTAATCAGGAGATGCCTTCACTGATTGATGTCACTGTTGGTCTTGTGCAACTGCTAAAAATAAACAAAAAGTTTCTGATTCGGCCGATGCTACAGATCTTGATCTTCTTCATGTTCGACCGTGTTGCTGATCAAGTTCTACAAAATGCAAGAGAATAAGAAAAACATGAAATTGAACCTGCTGTGTTACGTTTTTTTGTTTTGTTTTATTTTTTTCTACTAACCTTGCAGTGCAAACAGACCCTGCTGTCACTCACCTCTTGATTTTTCTGTTCACACAGGTTGAGAAACTGTCGGACAAATATTACATCAGTGGTTCATAAAACTGGTTTAACTGGTTCAACTTTTAGAGGTGGAAAAAAATTCACAAGAATCTTTTTATTTTGAGACTCTTATCTGTGTTTTCTTAGGTTCAAGGTTGATTAAGGTGGAAGTAAATGCATTCTGAGTTTGTCACTCAAGAGAAGAATGTCAACAATGGTTCCAACGCTGTCAGGCTGCAGCCGCCAGGCCGGAAAGAGCAGACAGAAAATAGACAGCAGGTTGCTAATTTTAACCAAATCAAGAGTCTCAGTTGTGAAGTCATAACGTCACGTTGGACGTTCAGTGCCTGTTGGTTTGTTTTTCGCCTGAAACCAAGTAAACAGCCTAGTTCAGATCACTGGCTGGCACATGGGGCTGCAGACGAGACACGGGGGAAACTCTAATGGAGACAAAACGAGGAAACAGAGAGCGCTATTTCAGACATGATGCCTGGCAAAAGTACTTTTTGCAGGTGTTTGTGTGAGTTCAAGTTGCAGCGAAACGGCTGAATGAAAAACTGCAGCCAGACCTGCAAACTGCCGAACAACCGAAGAGATCAGGTTCAAATGACAGGCCTTAGATAAGCTGAGCTGCATGAGGGCTGTGAGCAAAAGTGAAGTAAAAGCTGCAGATGTTTTTCCGTCCTGCTGCTTCCGTCAAATAGATGGATCACGTAAATATTAAAAGGCAGTTAAGGCAGGAGTTCATTCTTTACAGTTTTCGTTCTCAACCCTTGCACTTGGCTCAGCAGAGATTTCACAATGCAGATTGTAGTGTTATAAAATAGAACATAAATATCTTTCCCACTGTGAAGAGAATCAGGCGTAACATCATCATCGACTATTTCAAATATATAAAACAAACTAAATTAAAAATAACACTCCATACACTAATGATCAGGTTGAAGGGTTTTTTTTGTTTGTTTTGTTTTCAAAAGTATATAATTTTCGTTCACTTGTGCATTAAAACTGTGTTTTTTAATGTTGGGTCTGGGTGCTGCGACATTTGAGGCGCCAGAAGGTTTGAGAAAGATAATAAAAAAAAAAATTTTTTTAATGGAATCCAATAAATTTTTAAATTATAAATTGAAATTGTTTGTTTTTTCTATAAATCTTATGTTTTTCAATAATTATTGTAAAACATATGTTAAAAGCGTTGCTTTTGAACTATAATAAAGGGAAATGCAAAACACGCCCAACAAATTCCACGGAGTTATGAACAATTCAAGAAAGACGAGGCTAAAGTGAAAACACTGTGATCAAAACAAGAAAAGAAAACGCAAATTCCAGCCAACAAGGAATCGGTGAAACTTTGAAGTAGTTGTTTCCTTGTGACTTTTCCCTGGTCGTCACGTCATTGCAGAAAGAATTTTGGCTCACTGCTCCGCCCAGCACCGCTCCTGTTCGCTCGGTTCTGCAGGCTGGTTTGTTTCTGTGCAGGATTCCAGTCGGGTTTTAGGCCTGAACTTTGACTGGTCCACTGCAGCATCTTGATTCTTAACGTCTGTCAGCCTTTCCTGACGTAGAGCCGCTGCTGTGTTTGGGATCTTTTTTTAATTATTATTATTTTGCATAACCCAATTAAAGTCACAGTTGGGTTGGCAAACCAAATGGCCTCTCAGACAGTTGTTAAAGGTCATGCCTGCTCAGCTTTCCGCTTTGGCTCCGTGTCAGTGCACGTTTTCATCAGCAGCCTGCTGGATCTCCTGGTTTGGTGACTGAGGACCGTTCAGTTTTCTGCGCAGTGCTGCTACTTCCAAACTTAAATCCCTGGGACTGAAGTATGGAAGTTTCTTTTCGCCAAGACTGGCAGAAACACACCAACAATTCCAAATCAGAACTACAGATATCAAAAAATACAAAACAATGAACACACACAGCTGTGGCTGCGCCATCGTGCTGCAGCGTGCCCTGGGGTTAAATTCCCGGCCCGGGGTCTTTCTGCACAGAGTTTGCATGTTCTCCCTGTGCATGCGTGGGTTCTCTCCGGGTTCTCCGGCTTCCACCCATAGTCCAAACACGACTGTCAGGTTAATTGGTCTCTCTAAATTCTCCCTGAGTGTGTGTGTGTGTGTGTGTGTGTGTGTGTGTGTGTGTGTGTGTGTGTGTGTGTGTGTGTGTGTGTGTGTGTGTGTGTGTGTGCGTGTGGTGTGTGTGTGTGTGTGTGTGTGGGGTGTGTGTGTGTGTGTGTGTGTGTGTGTGTGTGTGTGTGTGTGCATGGTTGTTTGTTGCTTTGAAAGTCCATTAAAAGTGCCAACTTTACATTATTTTGTAAATGATGACAATTTAATGCAAAAGTGTCATTATTTACCGAATGACACTTCATGAGAACAGTCAGACATTCATGAAGACTCCTTCATGTTCATGACAGGTTTTATGTGATGTTTATGACAGAGTCATGTCAGTCTTTTGCACACTCCGTCAAATAAAATGTTACCAAAATCCAATATGGACAATAAAGGAAACCATACAAGTAGAGGACTTAAATTCAGACTGACTTTGGTCAAGGCATTTACAAACTTTCTTGTTTTGTCTTGTGGGTTCTTAACCAACACAGTGTACCTGGTGGTGGCGCTGTCACAAAATGTCCTGCTAAATAAAGTGAGTGATGGCTCCAGGTGAGCCGGGATTTCAGCTTTGTTTCTCTAGAATTGCTCCAGCAGGTGGCTGGACCAGATGAATGAGTTTGACATGGTCTCCTGAGACCATGTGGAAAGAAAATAAACCAAAGGTGAGAAATTTCACAACAAACTGCAGTCTGCAAGGAAAAAGAAGTGGACGATCAATGAACACTGCTGTCTTACAGCGTTAGCGCGACGCATCTAGAGTTTCCAGTGTGTTGATGACACGAAATGATCTGCCGACTTTGACTGTTAAGTTCTCTGACCAGGCGGAGGCAGACAGAGGCCCAAATTAAGAAAGGATGGTGATATTTCTGAGTAGTCAAGGCGTGATGTAGCAAATTACTTTTAAAAGTTTTTTTTTATTTTATTTTTTTCAGATATTGCTAAGGTAAACATAACTGGCCACCACTCAAGTTCCATCATTCAATTTTTAATTGATTGCATTTCAAATAACCCAAAATGGTGGATAGTTTTCAGAAAATATGAACCTTAATCCCTCAAAGTTCTAAAACAAAACATGTGAATGGACGAAAAATTATTTTCAATATGATTCTGACAAAATTTCTACATTGAATTTAGTCATCTAATGTGAATAAAACAACAGTTTGGCCAATTTCTTTTTGTTTTGTTTGTTTTCACTTCTAGCAGGAAACTCCAGTCTTTTTATGTCAAATGTCTTTGGTTCACTTTTATAAAAACCAAAGGTAAAATAGTTACTTGATTATGCTATGAAATGGCACTACATGGCTGGAAATTGCATAACTTCAAATAAATCAAATAAAACTGCTTTTTATTTTTTTATGTATAGTGCCAAATTAAATTAATTTGTAAAAACGTTAAGTATTACATAAGAAGTACTCGTCCAACACAGAGACAGCTGTAACATTTTATCATTTTGGCAGGCAGATTTATTAATGCGTTCAGGCACAACTGGCCCTTTGAAGACTTTCTAGATATTGATAAGGAGCAAAATGAAAATGACTTCAACTATCCTGCCTCATAAGCATCAAAATGGCACTCAGAATCCTGCCTCTTTGTCTCGGCTGTGGTGGTTTGAAATCACACCAGAGTCCCATTTCTGCACAAGCTAACGGCCTCGAACGTTTTAAATGTCTACCTAAAACCTGGCTATGATCCGCCACCAGCACAAAACGTGAAGGCGTGATGGCGAGCAGAGGTCTGCAGTAACTAAAACTCAATTCTCTGAAATTGTTTGACATAAGAAAAACAAATACAAACAAACAAAAAAATGAAAGAGACAGCTGGAATTTTGAGAAAAAAATAGTAACCTGACACTAAAAATAGCACAGACCTGAAAGGTAAGTCAATTGACACAGACGACTATCAATCAGTTTACGCTTCTAAGAATGAGGAATGTAGTGGGTGTGTGGCAAGGTGTGTTCTAAAATTAACATACAAGAAAGAGCAGATCCTTAGATCCATGCATTCATGTGGCTCCTTGGAGGCAGATAACAAAGGGATATCATTCTGTAACCAATAATCTAACAAGACATGCATTTGCACGATGCTCTGGGTCTAGTTACCCAGTCAGCGGACTGAAAACCGTTGGAGAACGATAGACATCCGAGACCTGACTGGATGTTGGAGTGATTCTTCAGAGGACTGAGCCGCATCAGGCACACCCTGAGAATCATTCACTCCTGAGGTGATTCAGTTCAACCATGTATAGATTCTTTAAGAAGAAGCCCCAAGCCGTGAAGGACGCAAAGAAAATGTAAGTGCATTGTATCTGGAGAGCTTTAAGGCTGGTTATTGTGCGTTCGTACTCTTGGTTTAAGTCAAGGCTCTGTAACCTCGACAATCCACATTTTCATTTTTGTCCCCAGTCCAGCTAAAGTAAAACTTGTTTACAGCTGCAAATGTTAAACTAAGGGTTTGAAAAAGAGGCAATTTAGACTTGTAGGAAATATTTACTATTTGAAATTTAGTAAATAGAAACTATTTACTAAATTTCATGGCATGTGGGAAACACATGTTCTTTTTCTTACAACAAATATGGCAAATAAACACTTCGGGGTTCAAAATCTTACGACAAGCATTAAGATCTGGTTATGAGTCACTCTTTATTCAAAAACACTAAGTGTGCAAGAGAGATGTGTCCAAGTCAGCTTTTGAGTAAAAAGGTCACTGAATGTTTGTACTGATTTTTACTATTATGTTAAAATACATTATGTTGTACCTAAAATGTTCTATTTCAAGATTTCAATTATTTGGTAAACGTTTTGTAATTTGTATTAGGCACCTTGGACAACTCTGATTTGGAGATATCACATTGAGATTTCCATGAATCGATTACCATTGATGCAGATCTGCTGTCTTTTTGCCATTTTTTTACTAATGTTGTGTAATGCTGCTCTTCTGCGGGGGGTTTATTTTGTGCCCATCTTTAAAATGGACACAAAATAACCCCCCCGCTCTCTCCTTCTTTGCAGACAGGAAACATATGAAACAAACACGTTGGGAGACTCCCTTGAGACGGTCCTTTCCCAGAAAAGTAATTTCCTTCTTCTTTCAGGCAGTTCAGAACCAATGTCATGGTTGGCTACTGCCGTCTTCATAATGCAGCTCTGTTCTTTTCTGTAAAAAGGCGGGCGAAGTGCTTTTCGGGATTTTCTAAAGTTGGAGTTCTGTGAGGAAAACCTGGAATTCTGGCTCGCCTGCAAGGAGTACCGGTCGTTTGACAGTCTGGAGGAGCGGACACAGATAGCGGCGAGTATTTATGAAGAGTTCGTCAGGGAGGGATCCCCCAAACAGGTGAGGATGGTTCATCTGATGTGGACTCATGCAACCAAATGTACAGTGTCATACAAATGTATATATACACATAAACTTTGAAGGTTTAGTTAGGTAAAGGCACAACAAAGATCAACATTGTTCAGTGGAGTTATATTTGATAGTCAATCATGGCTAAAATGATTCATAATTTTCAATTTCTTCCTTTTTCAAATAACATTTTCAGAACTGTGGCATGTCGATGTGTGGGTTGGTACTTTGCAGGATCACCTTTAGCTGGAATTAAAATTGTTAGTCTTATTGGCAGCTATTAAGTAACTTTGAATATCAACCGACATTTTGAGACTTTTCAGCTTTTAACAGGTTTCCTATCCAATCTTGTTTTCTTTCAACCTTCTTCTAAGCTGAGCCTGTGGATCTCTGCAGCACCATCAGATTTGCTGCTTCTCTGATTTATCGTTTTCTTAACCGGCTTTACCATTTCGTTGGACGGCCATTTCTTAGTAGGTTTGATGTTGCGCCATCCTCATTCCATTTTGAGTTAGTGGATTGAACCAAGCTTGGCATACTGTTTTGAGAACATGACCCTGCTTTAAACTTTCCCATTGATAAGGGCAACGTAATGGGCCATTATGTCGTCACTGATGTTCTCTAACAGACCTCTGAGACCCTCATAGAACATTGGGAGGTTAAACTATGCTAATTAGTTATCTATTAAGACATTGATTGCACTGGATTGTATTTTGACGGATTAAAGTAAAGGGATAGTTACTCATTGACAGGGTAAAATATTTAAATAAAGAAGCCCCTAATTAAATGTCACTCTTAAAGTGTACTCATACCATGTAGATTGGGCCTAAAATAATCCAACCGTCACTATGAAGCTTATTGGAAATTCTTCTGTTAGCTGATTGGTTGAAATTCTACCAAGGAAATTAAACTCGGTGGGAGAAACTCCCACTGAAGGGAGATGAGAATCAAACGAAATTGTGTTGGAAACTTTGTGTTGGTCTGTCACATTAAATACTCATAAAAAATTGTTTGGTAAAAGGTCAAGGGAGCATGGTTACTGTTGAATTGTCAGCACAAAGTGAAGTGAGACAACTTTTGCAGTTTCTGTAGCTCTATGTAACCAATGTGCTGTGTCTGTAGGTGAATCTGGATTCCTACACGAGAGAAACAATCAGACAGAGTCTGGAAGAGCCGGGGTCGTCCTGCTTCGCCGCGGCAGAGAGGAAGGTCTTCATCCTGATGGAGAACTGCTCCTTCCCACGCTTTACCGAAACAGAGCCGTACAAACTCTTTATTAACTCCATTCCGAAACACAGAGGTCTTAAGAAAAAGCGCGAGGCTGTGAGAATAAAGAGCCCTGTGGAGGATTTCAAAGTGAACCCTCTGCTCCTGGTGAGCAAGGACTGACTCAGTGTGTGCTGCCGAGAGTCTGAAGTGTTGCCCAGACAGACTGACAAAGGGCTGCGGGTCAAAGTGCTGCACAGGCACTTCCTCATCCCTCAAATCTTCACAGTAGATTTCTGTTAGACAAGAGAGAGAGAGAGCTGTGAAAAATGACACCGAAACGAGTCAGCAGCAGAGATAAGGCTCTTGCTTTTAATATGTAGCTTCTGTCAGGGACAGAATGTAAATATGTTTTTTATTATTATTGTTATTATTATTGGTCTGCACAAATGACTTGTAATGAAATGTATTTTTTTAAGCTTGCACTATAACAGTATTTGTGAAAATGTGAAATCGTCCTGTCTTGTATGCATCATGTAGCACATGGATTATTTCATGATAAATCACGTGATTTTTTTACGCCACCAGCTGCGTGGAGGTAACAAAAGTGCAGCCTTCATGCTGCATCTGGTGCGCTACTGCCACCCAGTGGCCGGAGCGCAGTAGCTCAGTGGAGGTTAACCATACTTAGAGTGAATTTTTCTGGCAACTTCTGTATATAAAAAAAACTCACATTGTTGGCATTTCTTTCTTTCAGTTTCAGTGTTTTTTTTTCTTGTTGCCTTTATTTTTCATTTTCTTAATGTACAACCTGATTCCATAACTTGTTTTATTACTCATGTTGATATTAAAACAATGACTTCACAAATCAAAGTTTGATGAGAGAAATAATCTACCAGAGATTAAATTGTCTTTAAAACTAAAAGTCTAAATACAGAATGACTTTTTCAGTCCTACCAGGCCAAATCTGAGGTACCCAGACAAATCAACTTTAATTGATCTTTTTAGAAATCGACATCATGAATTATTGTAAATGAGACATAAAACATACTTTTTTACAGATGATTTTGTTTTATTATCTATTTTGCCTGTAAGAAGCTGAAAAAGAGCTCAAATTGGAGCAGAGGTCGACCTTCCAGCAGGACGTTGACCTTAAACATGCTGCCGGAGCTGGAACACAATGATTAGATCAAAGTATATTCATGTGTTGTCCTGGTCAAAGTCCACATCTGAATCCAATTGAGAATGTGTCGCAAGATTGGAGAAAATGTTGTTTACAGACACTTTTGCACCCATTTGTAGGTTATACTTAGGTTTAATAGGTAGCCTGGTAAAAACTGACCACGTGTTCTATGCTTGGTTCCATAAAGAAGGTTTGGTTTCTGGGCTCTTGAGAAACTGCTGCTTAATGGAAACATGGACTCTGTATGTAATGTGCCATTTTGTAAAGCTTTCCAGAAATTCCCTGAAATGTGAACAACCATCCTCCCCCGAGAAGAGAAAGGTTCCGAGCTGAACAAGGCTGTTAATGTTAATTCAATATTTGGAGGCGAGGCCAACACAAACTAAAGGGCTTCATTTCCGCTGCCATTGCTAAAACTATTGCCACAGGCCATACGCAGTAGTTTTAGTAGTTGCAAAAACAGCTCATAAATCAATGTCATTGTTCAGAACTCCTCTCACTGTTTGCTGATTGGTTGTAATTCAACCGGAGAAATCAAGCTCAATGGGAGAACGTTCAGAAGAAGCATTGTAGAGAGATGAGAATCAAGCAGAATTCTGTAGGAAGGCTTTGGCCAGGCTTTTTTGTTTTTGTTTTTAGCATTTGAGGTTATGTGTAGAGATATGGTGTTATTTATGTTTTTATAAAGGTATGGTTATGAATTGACTTGCAATAGTTAGGGTTACTGTTTGGGTCAGGTATAAATGTGATGACTAAAATGAGTGAAAGTCAATACAAAGTCCTAATACAGACAGAAGCATGAAGTTATGAGAGTGGGAGGGAGAAAGAGAGAGAAAGAAAGTGAGAGGCAGCGGCAGAGCGAGAGATAAGATGGTGTGTAGTGTAGTATGTGACAGTATCCCAGCATCCACTGCGCCCCACCCTCTTTCTCCCCCCCCCGATTACGTCACTGCCAACCGGAGGGGAGGCCTCGCTCCATCAGGCTGCATCAAAACTTTCCCACTGTGCAAATACCTCTTGGTAAGTATTTGTTCAGAATTTATCGCTAATTATTTTTTTTTTTAAGACCAGCATCATATGTGGGCCGTGAACCGGGCGGTGTTGTTGGAGGGCGACCAGCCTCCTGCTAGCTCCGCTCTCGGAGTCAAGGTGGATGGAAAGTGCTGAGATTGATCTCATAGTTTGGGATAAAGGAGACCGCGGCTAAAAGCGCTCGGCTGTTTTGTTCTGTTGTTATGAGTAGGGGGCATATGTGTCGCGACAGAACTACCGTAAAAAGCAGTTTCGTACGAGCTTATTATTGTTATTATTATTTTCATTTTCAACATTTGAACCAACCAAACCATCAGAGCAAAGCTTCGGTTCTCCGCTGCCTGGTTAACTGGGTTAGTTACCAGAGCTGGGACTGGGAATGTTAGCTTAGCATAGATTCGGACGCTAGTTAGCAGGGTGGGCTCTCTGAAGTTGACAACTTCGGAACGGCGAAGCCTTCATCCATCTCCAGTGTGGCTCCTCCTCGCTGTGTTTCGTCTATCATCAAGTCATCTAATCGGCTTTAATCTATTTCCGTCAGGGCTCGGAGGCAGCGAGGAAACGATGCTAGTGTGTAAAAGTCAGCGACAACCTCCCGGAATGTGGCAGCTCCGGCTATTTAGCAGGATGAATACACTCTTGTTTCTCCCCCTGCCACAAACACACACACACACACACACACACACACACACACACACACACACACACACACACACACACACACACACACACATTTTCAACGAGAAAGTAAATTAATATCTCAACATGTGCTTGGTGGAGATGCACCTGAGTGAAATGGCACATCCTGCTCCTCATCAATTCATTAAGAAAATCTGCAATTATTTTGGTTCTACTCATCAACCAACAGCATGGACGATTTCTTCTTAAAAGTTTTCATAAAAATAACATAAAGGTTGCAGACAAATTTTTTTATCTTATTGCAATATTTTAATCCCTTTATTTTTTGTTGAATTCAGAGTTATTTCTTCTTTAAAAAATGTCACCAAAGCATATTTGTTTTTCTCTTATGGGTCTTATGGTAGACCTTAGTAAAAAAAAAAATCAGAAACTGGTATTGGCAAAAAAAAAAAAACAACAAATGTAAATTCTGCACTGAACGGCACATCCAATGTAAGTGCCAGAGCCGACCCTAGCCTTTTTGGGGGTCTATGTAGATTTTCAGTTGGGGGGGCCCTTCTTATCAACATGTCAACACCACCTGTGTTTTAAAATTCCTAAGCTACTCTATGTGCGTGACTTACTTAATACCATTTGCATCGTACTGGTGTTATTTTGGTTGCTGATTTTAACCGTGCAAGACTAGCAAACTAAAAGAAAAAAGTATATTGAGATGCAGAGCGGTATTTAAATACGTCACATTATTTTAATCACTTGAAAGTAACATCAACTGATGAACACAAAATTTATAGTAAACAAGTCAGCAAGTTTGATTTGTTTCATTTTCCTAAAAGTGGCCGCAGCAAGCAGCATTAAGATTAACCTATTATTTGTCTAACAACTATAAAAACAATCTAGAAATATTTATTCAGTGTGTAATAGGATTTAGTTTGTATTGTTGCAATATTTTAATCCCTTCATTTTCTTTTGGATTCAGTTATTTCCTTTAAAAAAATTACCAAAGCATTTATTGTGCTCTTGGGGGCCCCCTGGTGGTATGTGTGTCCTAAGCAGCTGCTTAACTCACATAATTTCTTCTTTGGTCGGCTCTGGTATGTTGTACTTATTAAAAAGTAGAACTTTAAAAATAAGCAACATATCCGAACGTAAAAGTATGCGACGACCACAAACCAAATCAGAGACGCTGACCAGTTATTTCACCTGACATCGTGTAAATCATTTTTATTGTGCCCTCCTCTGACCCAGGCCTTCTCCAACACAGCAATGGAGCCATCAGAAAACGCTACCAGTAATCATGCCCTGAACTCGACAGGCGCAGAGGGCTCATGGGAGATCAGCGACAAGACCAGACTGTGCCGCTTCCTCTGCTACGGTTCAGACGGAGACATCTACACCGCCAGAGAGCAGGGCCGCGTCTCCACGGAGACCGCCGGAGCCCTGCTGTCGCTGCTGCAGGACGGGAGAGGCGCAGAGGCGGTGGAGGAGGCAAAGCGGTTCGCCCAAGGCGGCCGCGCCGTCAGGCCGGGGCCGGCCCTCTTCGCCCTGGCCTTGTGCTCGCAGCATTCGGAGCTGAAGACGAGGCAGGCGGCTTTCAAAGCCCTGAGGGAGGTCTGCCGGGACCCGGCCCACTTGTTCTCCTTCGTCCAGTACAAGAAGGAGCTGAAAGAGGGCATGAAGTGCGGGATGTGGGGGCGCGCCCTGAGGAAGGCCGTGTCCGACTGGTACAACGAGCAGGACGCCCTGAGTCTGGCTGCGGCGGTGACCAAGTGTAAACAGAGAGAGGGCTGGTCGCACCAAGACCTGCTGAGGCTCTCGCACACCAAACCGGCCACAGAGGGTGAGTGAGGGGCAGACATTTTGGGAACAAAGGCGCTCAAATTAAAAAAATAAAATACAAAAAAAGGCACCCTGTGTGGAGTTTGGAACTGCTGCCTGTTGTAGCAAAACACCAGCTGCATCTCCATTAACCAGAAAATTGCGCAAATTGAATTGACAAAAATAAGTTCCAAAACAAGAACAATTTCAAAAACAAGACATTGGCCTGTTTTCAGTCTTATAAAGTTTTTCAATGAAAAGCTTTTTGCACTAGGATGAGGGGTTTTTTTCAGCTATATGAAGATATGCATGTTTCACAAAACTTGCAATGAGAAACACCTTTTTTCACATCAAATCACATAATCAACATCCAGACGCTACTGCTGGCAAAAACTACAAGCATGTTCATGTAACTGCTTTCTTCCGTCTGTGCCTTTATTATTAATCGCTTCATGTGTGACTTTAATTTAACTTCTTCATATAAAAACGCAATTACAAAGGTACTATGATTATTTTATTTGTTTAATTATTTTACGTTATCAGAATATTGACAAAGATTTGCACACATCTGTAATGTAAACGCAGCTACTGGTAAAAAACAAAAATTCAGAATGTCGTTTTGTTTTTGCAAAAAAGCTTGTGCTCCTTCACTGCATAGTGTCTCTAAGGGCAATATTGCACGTCTCTCAAAATGGATCATTTAGAAATAGAAATGCAATATATCAATAGAGATAATGTAAAGTTGATCGGCCCTGTCAATAATTAACACAAGTTTCCTTTTGTAGCAAGAGGCTCAATCATTTTTCTTTAACTATAAAGGCTAAAAAGCACAAACAATAAGCTAAATTTGACAAAAGAAGCATATGTGAACCATTTTTGCATCAGCTGTTTCACATAGCCGATTGTTTGCTTAGAAATACATTATAGTATTAAGAGCTTGAAAACAATGAGCTGCTTTTTTTTCGTTAAACGCTTGTGGTGAGCGAGAAACGTCAGACATCAGCAGCGTTCCACGTTTTGACTGTTAAATAGTGACAACCAACTCTTTGTGTTTCCAGCTGTTGCCTTGATCAGCAAATATGTAACAAAAGGGTGGAAGGAGGTCCAGGCGGCTTACGCGGACAAGGAGAAATCGGAGGAAGTGGTCAAAGTGCTCTCCTATCTGGAAGTGTTGGAAAAGGTCAAGCACAGCTGTGACGAAGTGGAGGTCAGCGGTTTAATAGAGGAGCACAAGCTGGAGAGGGAGCAGCTGCTTACAGACCACCTAAGGTCAAAACAGGTACAGTATGCTGCTTTTCTTTGACACTTTCATCAGGTGAGGCCACGTCTGCAGTTTCCACAAATTAGATAGAAAGGGGAGATGTAACAGAGATTTATCAACCTACACGTTTTATAACAATGAAGCAGTTTTATAGCCGATACGGTGCAACGGACTTAGTAAGCTGGAATAGAGTTTGAATAAAATCCGCATCCAGCGATGAGGATTTCCCTTTTTACTTGTCTTTAGTTTTTGAGATACAGCAAAAACTTCAGCACATGAAGCTCAATATTGGGTCAGGAGCTGTAATCCTGGGGATTTGTGTATGTTGTACCTCAAAACATAAACATCTCAAAATGTCATCCGCATCCCCAAAAATGGCTTTAAGCCCCCAGTAGACGTTCACTATCACTTAACAAATCACTGTTATGAATGTATTTGAGAGCTAACACTGTACAATACTGTTCAATCCAACATTTAAATAACTAGATTCAAATGATGTCTATCATTGACTCCAGAAGACCACCGGGTTTCCTGGATCGGGTTCCTAACTGGCAGAAATACTTTATGAAAACCCAAGAACCGTGAAAGAATCAAACAATGAAGTACTGAAATGGCCAGGATCCAAGCTAACCCTGATGTTGAAATTGGCCATCTTGGAGTGTTGTTCTTGCAGAAATGGCTTCCACACCGACAATTCTGTTAGTGCTTGGATATGGTGCGTTCACTGACCAGACGAAAGATAAAATTTCTTAGCTTCCATCTCACTCGTTGCTGGTCAGGGTTGTTGATAAGAAAATTACATGAACCATTCTTTTAGGAAGGTGACGATATCAAATAAACCTAAATTTTGCCGCTTAAATGGTACTTTGTAAAGTAAAGAGAAAGTTGTACCTCAAAACATAAACATCTCAAAATGTCTGTATAAACGTTATTTCTTCATTTTTTTTTTTCTTTGAAGGTGTGGAGTGCCCTGCTGAAGGAGATGTGTCTGCATTCCATTCTTAAACTCCTGGGAAAGATGACGTCCAACAAACTTCTTGAGCCACGGAGCGCGGAGACCCAAACCATCTGCGAGAGACTTCAGAACGAGTCGTCGCTAAAGAAGGTACCGCCATAAACATCCTCCAATGGCGTCACCGTTTTTCTGCGCTGCACGTGAAAACGTTTCCATTTTCAACCCTCCAGGCCAACATCCACCCTTTCAGCATCCTTTTGGCTTCAGAAAACTATAAACGAGGTCAAGGCTTCCAGGGAAAAACAAAGTGGGAAGCAGACAGTAGCATCCTCAAAGCCATGGACTGGGCTTTTTACACAAGCTTTCTGGTGAGTTTTCTGGGTCTCAGAGTTCCTCCTCAGCCGTCTGCTTCTTACTGAGAACATGGCCACTGTCGTTCCATTCCTCAGAACGTGGAGCCCGTCGGGAAGCGCTTTGTCGTGGCTGTAGACGTGGGCACGTCGCTGACCAGCATCGTCCCGGGAACGGCGATTAGCACGGCGGTTGCAGCTGCAGCCATAACCATGGTGAGCCTGGAGCAGAGTGAGGGAGACTTTACACTGTAACAGAAGGAACCGCTGCGTCTGCCGACTGGGCGCATACTGGGAATTTCTGGCAAATTCTTTGCACGCCATGTTGGTCCACAGGGCCCCTCAGAGGTCATTAGCCGGGGAAAGTGACATCACAAAATCAAACGGAAGAATTTCGTTTGTATGTACTGAAGAGAGGCAGAGTTAGATTGGTTGTTTTTTTAATTTATTTTTTATGTCTGTTTGCTGCAGATTTTTGCCCGGACAGAAGCAAACACGCACGTCCTGGCCTTCTGTGAGGGTACTGTGGTTCCATGCTCTCTTTCTGCAGATATGTCTCTTGCAGAAGTAACTGCTGAACTGGTTAAGGTAAGATGTACAGCTGTTTTCTCTCTTTCTGCAGGTGTAGAAGCAGACCTCTGGTGTGTCCACTGGTCATCTCTATGCTGTTTCTGTCCTCTTCTTCTGGTTCCTGCTTCCCTTTAAGACATTTTCCCCTTTCTTTTCCATCTGCAATATGTCGCTGCAGTGTCCCGACTGCATAATTTGTGGATATCTTGTTAGTCAAAAAATAAACACTGTTAGGTGTCATGTTGTTTTGTACATCCTGTGTTCTGTCATTTATTGATTGATTATTTGATATATTTGTAGCAAAAAAAATTGTGCCCCTATTTCATTGTGCTTGTGAACACTGTATGGAAATTTACAATGATAATAAAGACTTTACTTACTTACTTAAACGTTAAAAAAAACTTCAGTGTTGCTTAATTGAAGCAATTCTGCAAAGACAAATGGGTCAAAATTCCTCCAGTGTAGAAGATTCATTATTATTTCGTCCAAAAACTTAATGCCAGTTGTTGATTCCTAGGCACAATCACTTTAGATGGTTTTCTTTATCTAAAGCATCATCTTTAAACTGTGTTTTGTATTAATTCTGGACATTTTTGTCTGACATTTAAGTTTGTTTGCTCAAAAACATTTAAATGTAACCAATTAAAAAGCAGAAGAAAGAAGAAATTGCACTCAGTGCCATGCATGGGCAACATGTCAGCAGAAACCGAGGCGCTTTGCTGCCCTCAGCAGGTCACTTATGGTAATTGAGTGCCACTCTCCTGTCTGAATTGAAAACTTGCTAATTTCCCACCCTGGCTTTGTTTTTTCTACCCCACCACTGTTGCCTGTTATAGTTAGCCTGATGGCAGATGTTTCTGCTGAACTTTTCTCTTCCAGTTCCCCAGCAGCAGCACAGATTGCACCCTTCCCGTCACATGGGCCACAGAAAATGGGAAGTCTGTAGACATGTTCATCATTCTGACCAACAACCCGCTGTGGACATTTACAGCCAGCCCAGTGGAGTCTCTGAAGAAACACAGACATGTAGGTTTGTCTCTGTGAGACATTTTGATCTTCGTTCAGTTCTTCTCTACCTGACTATGTCAGCTGAAGCGTTTCAGTGCAACTAAGGTACTTTTGAATGCGTTGCTGCTAGCATCAGCAACATGTGTTCTACAAAGTTGTCTCAGATTTTAGATTAACAGTAAATTCTCTGTAAACAGAATAATGTGTCCCTCCAGGATGTTGTGATGTGTTTTTGCTATTGTTGTGGCCAAAAGCGACTTATTTTGCTGCATCTTTTTCAAAAAAGCTGTGGTCTAAGTTGATAAGTCTAAGTTCTATTTATACTAAATACTGCATAAAAAATATTATCCGATTAATTGATGAGAATGACTTATCAAATAATCGATTACCAAAATAATTGTTAGCTGTGGTTTTACTGTGTGGTTTTCTTTTTCCACCTCTTCTAAACATGTTACTGTTGCCAAAGGTGCACTACACTGCCCCTAGTGTCTCGGAGAATTCGGGCTGCAAAAGTTGTCAGTCTAATTCCATGCAGAATGTTAATGCATGAAGCATAAATGTAGATTCACAGCCAACTGAGCTGTCTTTAATTTCACCACACGCAGAACTCCATCTAACGGCGGCCTTTGCTCATTTTAAAAGGCCTCTCCCTACCCCCCCACAAGCCCGGAGATTATGGGTGTTTTTCAAACATTCTTCTCTTCCTTCTCAACTGCAGGCGTCAGGCACAGATTCTAAGCTGGTGATGTGCGGCCTGACCTCCATCGGCCACGCCATCGCAGACACAGAGGACAGGGGCTTACTCAGCATCTGCGGCTTTGACCTCGGAGCGTTCAGCGTCATCCGGAACCTCGCCCTCGACCTTATCTGACCCGACCCGACCCCATCCAATCCAACAACATCTGAGGCTTGCACACGCAGAGTTCTGGAGTAGCTAATCTCCCTCTTAAAAAGAAATAAATGCTGACACTTACAATTCCAAATTTTTGTATTCCGTTGAAACAAAGCGTCCAGCAGGCTGGATGGTTCTTTGGCGACGTCACAGAGTGCCGATACAGGGTATGCTGCAGGTAGCGCAACTACACAGCAGGCCAATTCTGGTTCTGGTACTGGTTCTGGGTAAGACACTAACATCTCTCATTTCCAGCTAGAAGATAAAGTCAGAATGTTGGGTTTATTTTAAGGTGGATTCTTGTAATTTTTGTTTCTTTCTTTTTTTTTTCTTTTTTTTTTTACTCTGGTAGCAGGTTTGAGGTAAAGTAGGTGAATTGTGAAGCTGGAGCTAATTTTATGTAGTATGTTTATAAATTATTAACCGAACTATGGGAAATGAAGATGAGAGGACAAGAGGAAGCACCAAAATGTCCAAAGGATAATCCTCTGTTCTGTCATTTTTATGATTTATTTAGTTTTTATTTGAATACTAACATTGATTCATTTTAGAATGTTTTAGTTTCATTCCTGTTTAGTCCCTCTGTCACTTTTATTATATCAGAGTAGTACCTCTCTTTCTCTCTCTCTCTTTTGATCTACTGTCCTGATTAAAAGTTTACATCCACTCATCAGGCACATAAATGCCACAATAATTCAGAGCTTTTATTGTTTCAGTCTGTTGGAATGACTGTTTATAAAAAAAAACAATTAAGTGCACAAATTTGAATGTAACGTGGATTTTCTTTAGTCCACATGGTCCATAGCACATATAATCTGCATAAGCAAATATTACTGGTTGCTTTTTTTCCTTGAACTCTGGAGTTTTGATGCAATGTGGATCAGAAAAACAAAATCATGTTTTTCACATTTTATTTAAACTTAACTATCCAGGAAAGTTTTTAAACATTTGCTGTATAATCAGTATACTCTGGAAAAAACTGTGGTTCAAACGCATCCCTGGAACACTAAAATTGAAGATGTTCAAACCCATGATGGGTGGATGTCAAGTTCTGACTGGCACTGTATATCAGGGTGTTCCCTGCTTTTTGAAGGAGTGTTTTCTTTTTCTTTTTTCTTTTTTTTTTGAGCAACAAAATTATGCAAATGTCAAGGACTTTAACAGATTTTGATGAAAGTTGAGAGAAATTGGCTCGGTTTCTCATTTTAGTTAGAAATCTATGCATTGCCATTAGGTAGGGTTGCACCAGTTGCAGGTTTCTTGCCGATCAATCGATATTCAAAAAGCCTGATTCCAGTTTTGACTGTTCAAATTTTTTTTTGTCGGAAAATTGGCAAAATATAGCATCAAAATCACTGAAGTTGGCAAAAGCTTGGTGACTGCAGTTCACCACGCATGCTCTGATGTGAGCTTGTGGGCAGGACTGTCTGGCCTCACAAAGAACAAAACGTTTTCACATCCTTGCGAAGCTAGATAAGATCAGTTTCATATATAAGTATTGGCTGATCGGCTAAAATTAAGTCAACCTGGGCCAACTTCTTGGTGCACCGCTACAATTAGAACAGTGCTGTATTATTTCAAGATTAATTGTAGCTGGGTAAGAAGAACTGTTCTCCATGACTGAATCTGCTGTATCTTTAATTTATTTTCAACAACTAACAACTGCAACTATTGTGGAATAAATCAGATCGAATGTACCTTTTGAAGTCATGAAATTGTTTAGATTTAAGCAATCTGATTTCTATTTCTCCATTAACTGACCCCACCATGCTTACTGTGTCAGTCGCAGAAGCATTCAAACTGTAGGAATTACAGACGTCGCTCACTAAACTCGTCAGTCATCCTGGTGTGGTCCTCAGTATAACACTATTCTCAATCCTGGAGCTGTGAAGGCAATATTTACTTTCTTTCCATTATAGATTTAACTCGTGTAAGTCTGACATAACTGTTCCACAACTGCTGCCGCTACGGCATCTGTAGTCTTCACAGGAGAGAGTAGAATTGTGGAGTTGTTGTTCACGAGAGATTCTCCACTGTGCTTCACTTCTTTTCCGCCATACTGTCTGTTGTAGCGACTTGTTACATGAGTATTTTGATTGTAGTGACACCATAATCCCTTCCCTAATAAATACTTATGCTGCTTTTGAAACCCTGTGTTCTTGTCTCATGAATCTCTGCATAAAATTTAGATTTAAGCCATCTGTGTTGCCAACTTCTGAGAGGAACTTTGAAGTAAGATGACGGAAGTCGATTTTTAACAAAATGTAAGGTGTTACTGAATGTAGAGAACAAAGTGGCTGAGTTAAGGATTGGTTAATCTCTTGGAACTAGAAAAAGATTTATTGAGCCATCGGTAGCCTAACGGGACCAACACACTGGAGGTGACATCACTTTCTTTCCATTCATTTCCTATGCAATGAGGTGTCAATCCTAGTCACATCATGTGTCCTTATTGATGATGTTACCCCACTCGCTTGTGGAAAAGAAAGAAAAGCAAAACAATGGATTTACCAGAGTTACAGAAGACCAAAAGAACGAGGTACCTGACGCAAGCGTTCAAAGTGATTTTCCTGCGTATAGTGACTCAATTCCTTAGAAATACGACGAGAAATGTCCTCACCCAGAGAGAGGCTTGCGCTGCACGTGCTTCTACAATCCATAGATAATTCAGTAGAGATGATTCTAGCATCTGGTCAGGATGTCTCCTGGACACCTCATTTTGGTGGTTTTGTTGTTGCATCAATTTCCAAGGGAACAGACCCAACACACCCTTTGTAGTCCTCCTTTAGCCCCCAGAATCCCCTGACCTGATCTTAGATAAGCTAAAGACAAGAGATGGATGAGAGTGAGTGAAGTAATGCTTTTAAGACACTAAGACCAATTGGTAGGGAACATATCTACCAATTCAAGTCCTCTTGGGATTCCTCAAGGTACAAAGTGTCATCTGAGCGATTCATCAATGACTGTACTGGTACAAATGATAACATCAGCATGCATGACTTAAATTTAAACAGCCCATCCAGATATAACTATATCATTCAGAGCATCCTGACCAGATCAATCACTGTATGATCTTGATGCAGGGGTGGGCAGCTCCAGGCCTCAATGGCCAGTCTCCTGCAACTTTTAGATGTGTTTCTACTTCAACACACCTGAGTCAAATAATGAGGTCATTAGGAGAACGTTGGAGAATTTGGCAACATTAAGGAGGTGATTCAGCTATTTGATTCAGCTGTGTTGGACCAGGGAGACATCGGCCCTCGAGGACCAGGATTGGCCACCCCTAGAGGCAGGACTCTCACACTGCAAGCACCTGCAGAGTGATCATGACCTCAGAGCTGTGCTTTACTTGGTCACAAACAGCACTGTGTATGACAACTTTGATTTGAGTGAAGATACTCTAATGTGTGTAATGAGATATATCTGAACAAAGTGTGAAATAAAGAAGCTTGACTCTCAATTCAGAAAGGTGGAAGTGTGAAATTTTGCGTTTAGATTCATATCTCGGACAAACCTATGGGCAACCAGAGTGAAATACACTTAGAAAAACATGGTTTATTTCCAAATGCACCTGCATCTAGATTTTGCGTCAACAGTTGCTAGGGGGAGCCCACCTGGCTCATAATAAAAATCTATATATATTTTTTTTGGATCAGGCAACTTGCGAGGCCTCTTGATGTTGATATGTGGGGGGGCCTCGTAAACATACTACATGAAGGCGAGGGAAGATGGCGGATGTGTTGAGCGTTCTTCGTCAGTATAATATCCAAAAAAAGGAAATCGTCGCTAAAGGGGATGAGGTGATATTCGGAGAGTTCTCCTGGCCGAAAAATGTGAAGACAAACTACATAATCTGGGGGTATGTCAGCACGCTAAACACGTTTAAACCTCTTTTCTCCCAGGCCTGTAACTCCTTCTCCGTAACGACGTAAAGCTCGCTAGCTACTTTGTGCTAAAATGCTACTACAACTCCTCTGTGGGCTCAGAACTTTAAGCTGCTGGTTGCTTTCGCGTTATATTTCAGTGACTTGCAGAAATTATATTCCAGTTCACTATTCATTTTTGGAGTAAACGCGTGAGCTTTGCACTTCTTCTGTATTCCTGGTGTTTTAGCAGCGAACACACCAAACTTGTCTCAGTGAAGGGATGCTAAATTAGCGATGCCAGCTCGCTCTCACTTGTTTCATGAAGTCGCGAGACAATGCTCGTCTTTTATTTTAATATTCGCTTATTATTCTGTTGTTTTTTGAGTTTACGAAGAAAAAACTTATCTCGCAAATATTCTAAACATAAAGCTGTATATGTGGACTCACTAACTGTTGCTAGGAGTTGAGCAGAACGAGAACTTCATGCTCGTAGACCTGCGCAGATAACACATAATTGGCTTAATTGGTCATGTTTTAAAACTTTGCTCCTAATAATGGCAATGTGTTTTCTCCCTCAGTACTGGCAAGGAGGGCCAACCCAAAGAGTACTATACTTTGGACTCCATTTTATTCTTGCTCAACAATGTGCATCTGCCGCATCCTTCGTACGTGCGGAGAGCTGCAGTAAGTGGAGCATTGAGCCAAAGCCGCTGGCATATTTTGTTAGTTTCTCTCTCGCTGTGTACAGCGTCTCTGTTCCTGACATGTCTGCATGTTCATTATAGACAGAGAACATCCCTGTTGTCAGACGACCGGATCGAAAAGGATTGCTGTCCTACCTCAATGGCGAGAGTTGTAAGTAGCATGTGCTGTGAAAAAGTCTCTTTCATCCACCTACAGACAGGATGTTCAGTTTTGTTTTTCTTTTTTGGTTTGGATTTTGTATAGTTGGGAGGTCTGGTGTGACCCAGCCACACACAGTAATGTGTGTGAATACCTTGAAAAAAAATGCATGCTTAGGAGAATAAATTTACTCATGTTCACATGTAATATGTTCCATAGTCTGCACGCTGGAAAGTCCACTCTACGTTTCCAGTTGTTGAACTTTTCTTCAACAAACACTGATGGACTGCGTAGCTTGGAATTGCCTCCAAAATAACATGTCTGAAAACAACCTGAAATGAAAATATTAAGCTCTCAATGCACCTATTGAAATCTTATTGTTGCTTTGTCCATGAAAACAACAATAATGAGGAGTGTGGTGCTGTTTTGGAAATGTGACTGGCTATGACAAATAACCATGAACAAGTTGGGAGATTCTGAAAATGTGGATTCTAAACTTTTTCTTTCAGCTGCAGTTACTCAGCGTGGGGTGCACCGCTGCTCACCACCTCGTCACTGTTAGCCCCCCAGGCTAGGCAGGCCTAGATATGCGTGCCGGTGGCATGCTATGTATTGTAAAGGTGTTCTAAAGATAAAGGTTCTGCAACTCGCCCAGAGAAACTGAAAAACATTCCTGCAGACATGAATTGCTGTGGTCATATAAATCGTGTTATTTCATCCAGGATCTCTAGCTTTCCTACACAATAACCTGATCTTAAGCCACTTATACATTATTATTTTTAAACACAATCCTTTGGTAAGCTAACTGTATGCGTCACATTTTGACCTCATATCATAGTGGAAAATAGTCATTTACATGCAGTACGTTGCAGACCACTAGTTTGAGAAAGACTGATGCATAATGACCACGACAGTCCCATCGCAAAGCATGAATAATTGCTCTCTAATACATTTCAGGTTTTAAGAACTTAAATTTTTTGTGTTAATTTAATATTTAGGCAGAGTCTCACACCAGCAGATGCCAATGACATTGCTCAGAATGATAAAGGTCACAGTGATGGGAGCACAGATGAGAGAGGAAAGAACAAAATAAGCTTGTATTCAACAACTGATATTAAATATTGGGATATTTATATTTTACAACCTTAACAATAAGTAGATTCCCCAAATATAAACGTATAACATCAATAAGGTCAAATAAGTGCAGGTTAATTGTCAACAAGCTGGCAGGATCTGATCTCTCTGTACAGTTGGGTAGTTCTGCATAGGGGTTGGTGATATGGCCCAAAAATAAAATCTGATTCTTTTTTGCATAATGAGATTTGACTACTGATTTTAATTGCCATTTTATTTATTTTTTTACCTTGCTTTTATTTCCTAGAAAATAAAAATTGAAAATAACAGAAAATGTTTTTCAAAACTTGCTTTTATTTCAATCATCTCTTCTGTGATATGTCCTGAATATAAGCTATATTACTCTGTGGTTGGCGCCGGGCTGCTGGAGTCTCCTGGAACAATAGAAACCAATTGTGTGGGGGGAAATCCCCCTTTTTCCTAAAATGAAATCTTTATAAACATAAAATGTAATTAATCCATAAAATTGATTTATAAATTTCTTCATATCTTAATTTGATCCTTTTTTTTATGTCAGTCACTTCAAAGGGGGTGAACAATTATACAATCATTTCATATTTATTTTTATTTCACATTCCAGAAATCGATTTTCACTTTGACATGCAAGTTAAGTTTTATCTTTGTCTTGTTTTTATTATGTAAAAGTAAGAAAAGGATTAAAACCTCAAAGAATGTGAATACTTTTACAGGCACTCCTTCAGCGGTCTTAAAGAGCTGTCATAGCGGTCTGTGGCCTCTAGGTGTCTCCAAAACACTGAGTGCCAAGAAGCAGATTTGTCCACAGCTCCACAAATCTCAGTGATCTGTCAAATGTTCCTGCTTGTATCTCCGGTTTGATGAAGAACTCTTTGATTGTCCAGTAGAGGTAAAACTTGACCTGCTGTATTGAACAACACACTTCTGTTCCTCTACAGCTACATCGACAAGCATCGACAGAAGCGCACCAATAGAAATAGGACTTCAAAGGCCAACACAAGGTATGCTTATAGCAGCTGTTTTTCTTCTTCTTCTTCTTCTTCTTCTTCTTCTTATTATTATTATTATTATGTGTAAAGGTTTCTGCTTTTAAGTTTTCTGACCTTCAGTTTGAACAGTTTCAATGTCCTTACATTGAATTTCTGAAGATAAAACTCTTCTTTTTTTCTCCTCCCCAAGTTAAAAGAGCAGCTGATGAAGTTTCTTCTGAAGCCAAGAAACCACGGATTGAGGTAACTCGGGCAAATTGATGAGTTTCAACCACATGGGTTCATGAAAAGTAACAAATTGCCTGCAGTTTAACAAGTTGAAATGTTATCAAAAAATAATTGAGATTTTTTTGTATAATAAAGTACATTCTGTTGGCTTTAATGGGTCCTGACCTCCTCTGGTGCCGGCACATTACTTCAGAATTTGATAAAATAAATTGTTCAATTGTAAAATATAATCATTTCTAATGAAGAGGTGTTTTTTTTTTCTTTATTTCTAAAACAGGTGTTGGATTAGTCCCTGATGAAACAAAGACACTAAACTTAAACATTTCATGTAATAGAAAAACTGACTATAAATTAGAACCACTAACTAGCAAAACACATCGTTGGTCTAAATCTTTTTTCTTGTTTTTTTTTTCTCCCCACAATAATAATAGGAATCAATTAATTAAAAGAATCTTCCTGCTGCTTTTGTAATGATTCTGCACTTTCTGGGTCTTGCGGACAAGATCCACTTAGCAAACTTGGATCAAAGTCATTCAAATTTCAACAAATTAATTTCACTTTTCCATCTCTGTTTTCCAACCTGTGGCGACACAATGAAAAACATTGTGTCGCCACAGTGTTGTAGCATTAAATTAAATGAAACTAAACTCTATGTGGTTGAACTCATTTCTGGTCCTGCTGAAATGTGGCATGACTTTTCTCTGTTTTATTGTATTCCATATGAAATCAGATGAATTAATGCTAATAACTGATCCCCATCTCGGACATCCTTCTCTTTTTATTTTGTTCTTATGTCAGCGTTTCCTGCATGTCTATTAATAGTTTGTTGCATTTTCTGTTTTGAAAAATAACTATTTGCAGTCATAATTACACCCCATTGAAACGGGAAATCATATTGATACTAATTAAATGTTACTGGACACTTTAAGTGATGTCTTTTTTTAAATTACTCCTTTTTTATTATTATTAATTCAGGGTGTCGATTCAAATCACAGCTGTGATCTTAAAGTAAAAAAAAAAAATTCCGCCATTTCTGAAAATAATAAGAAAAAAATTGTTGTCTGTCTTATCTGTATTAAAAGATGTAAATATTTTTAAGGTTTTATTTTCTTTTTAAAATTGAATAGTACCTTGTGTATAGCTACATTTCTCATCTGGAAAAGGCAGTTTATTTATCTTTACAGCAGCCTGTTTTATATTATACAGTGTTCCAGTACAGTATGTGAAGCTTCATTTATCCATAGTTTGTCTATTTTTTATAATATCACCATATTTGTTTACAGACAGGCTAAACAAACAACAAAATATTCATATTTTCTTCAAAACATGAAGAACCTAAAAAGAGCTTTATTTCTTTAATATAAGGTGCATCAGCAAGAGAAGTTAGCCATGTTTTTAATTTAGAAGCAGGATTATTGTCTTTTGTAGCATTTTAAGAGATCAGGTACTTAGATGTTTGTACACCTCTGGTTTTTGATAAAATAGTTATTTTAATTATTTTCCTATTTAGAAAAATTAAATGGTAAATTGTAATCTTTATTGTTGACCTTCAGGATGCAGAACGAGTGCGTCTGGACAAGGAGCGCTTGGCTGCCCGTCTGGAGGGCCACAAAGAAGGCATCGTGCAGACAGACCAGATCAGGTACAAAACCGAGATTTCTCTGTCAAAATGTTTATAGGATTATAATAAACTCAAAAAAAGTCACATTAGTCAGAATGTTACCTTCCAGAAAACCTGACTTTTTTTTTTTTTTTTTCCTCCACACTCTTCATCCAGATCTCTGTCCGAAGCCATGTCTGTGGAGAAAATCGCCGCCATCAAAGCCAAGATCATGGCCAAGAAACGCTCGACCATCAAAACGGACCTGGACGATGACATCACGCTGAAGCAGAGGAGCTTCGTGGACGCAGAGGTGGACGTCACCAGGGACATCGTCAGCCGAGAGCGGGTCTGGAGGACCAGGACCACCATCCTCCAGAGCACTGGGAAGGTTAGAACCACGACCCGCCCGACAAATCCCAACTGCACTCACCTGCAACATGACCACAAGCTTGGGTCTTATAAAGGATTCAGATGTTGTCTAGTTCCTCGGGAGAATAACAAAAGTGACGGACATTCCTCTTGAGTCAAAGAGACTTACTGAACGATAAACATACAAAGCAAAGAGACAAAGCAGAACTGTGTGTTCTGCTGCATCAGTATTATGTAATATCCACACAGGGAAGTTGACGGCAGCTTCACATATGCTGCAGTGATAAATGGCCGATTCTGCCCACGCTGACAGAGCCACGCTGGGAGGAACTGTAGAAGATGAGGGAAAAAGTCCAAAACGCCTCCGTTTTAGTCACTAGATGGCGACAAAAACTGAAGTTTCAGCTTTAATTGACAGGCTTATCTTGAAGTTTAATAAACAATCTTGTTAAAACTGTTCAACAGTTTTGATAAACTGTGTTTATTAAAGCATTTTAAAGCGTTTTAAATCAGCTGGAACATATTGTACCATCTGTAAACATGCAGGTTATTTTTACTTGAATTTCTGAGGTGGCTCCTGCATAGAAATCTGACCTTTGGTTTATTGGCTTTTTCCAAGTAGTTTTTAGCTGTTTTAAACAATAAAACTCAGAATTTCTTGAAGAATGAATGTTTATTTTTTTAGCACACTTTTGAGTATGGATTACTAATTTAGTAAAATATAGTATTCTTACATATTAAAACTGAACTTCTTTCACTAGTCATTGATAATTGAAGTCTATTATGTAGCACACTAAACCCACAAATACACACTTTAATAAACTGTGACTTCAGATTCTTAAAAAAAAAAGATTTATATCCTAGTGAAACATGAGTTTATAAAATGGCCTTTTATTTACACTCTGAACTTGTATACCTCTAGTAATAACAAATGTTCAGTTCTTTACTTGCTGATGTGTCTTTTTAATGTATAACTCTTGAATATTTGACATTTTGTATGATTACCTGCTCATTCATGTTAAATCGGTGTGTGTATTTATTTATTTTTTTTATTAAAGAACTTCTCGAAGAACATCTTTGCCATCCTCCAGTCGGTGAAAGCCAGAGAAGAAGGGCGAGCACCAGAGCAGAGACCAGCACAGAACACTACCCAAGTGGTAAACGTGACTTTATTTCATGATAAAAGCAGCACAAAGCTCCCTAGTTGAAAAGGTTCATTGAAACTTCATGAGAATTCAGTCCGAATAAATTGAAATGGCTGCATGCAGAAGTGAACGTCCGGTTTCTGTTGGTGTAGGACCCGTCCTTGAGGAATAAGCAGCCCGTCCCGGCCGCCTACAACAGATACGATCAGGAGCGATTCAAAGGAAAAGAAGGTGACTTTGCTTTATGGTTCTAATTCTATAAAATCAGTCTTTTCTTCAGTTTTTTTTTTTTTCGACTGAGGAGAGTATTTCTTTACAAAAGCCAAATGTCATTTGCAGTACAGAATAGAAAAATGTCAGCCAATTCTGCCCCATCTGCTGGAGTCTTATTTACATCCATTAGACCATTAGTAAATGATTGTCAAAGGTTCCCAAGGCAGGTACAGACTGAGCCATTGTCCCATGTTGTGTCCTGTTTGTATGCACAAGGTCTATATTTGGGCTGTTGTAAATAATTTCAGTAATCGAGTATTCTGTCGATCAGTCAGACAATCGGGTAATTAAATTAAAAAAATTATAAAGTAAAATATTGTTAAATACTTCCATAACAGCAGTATTAATATCAAATTTTCATATTTGTGCATCCCCAACAATTACTTTTCTGTACTTTATAAAATTAACCTGGAACAATGATTGCTCACTTTTTAAGTTAACCTGGACAAAAATTATACAAAATCCTGAAATTATATTCAATTTTATAATAAAGCAGCAGGCTTACAAAGGCACTTAAAAAATATCTACATTCCAGTTTTTAGTTGATGTATTCTTCTGTGTTTTATCGATGAACTCTCACTTATTTAAAAGAAAAATCAAGCTGTACTTGCTTTGCCTGGTGGAGGCGCAAGTGCAGCCTGGAGGCCTGCCAGGCTTATAATACACTGAAACCCAGCTTTAGAAAAACCACCATAAATCAGTATTTATTAGTTTCTTAGATTGTGTGTTCATAATCTGCAGCTCATTACCTTTTCTTACTTTGTAGAAACGGAGGGTTTCAAAATTGACACCATGGGCACCTACCACGGCATGACCCTGAAGTCAGTGACGGTAAGAACAGCTTCTGGACCCGGTCACAAAGTCTCGTGTAGAGGGTTTCCCACCTGAAGGGTTTCAGTGCTGAAACAGGGCTGGTGAGATTAATAAGAGATTAAACTGAGTTACAGCTGGATTCATTACTACCATTTGATGAAGTCAGACCTTTAAATGTTACATTTTTCCACCTCAGACTAGAACAGAATATTTTAAATGCAGTTTTGGCAACATGAACTGCAGATTTATTTTAATTCAGAAAAAAAATGAAGAAGAATCTTCACATCCTTGACTTGGTTAATACTCAATAACAACACTGGTTCTGCTGCGTTATTGGGAGAAAAAAAAACCACCGTTGACATTCAGGTCTAAATTGGTCCATCTTATACATCTTATACCAGAATATTGTTTTTGACTTTGATCGCAATTTAAGACCTAAACATCGATGTGAAATAATAGGTTTACTTATACTTTCTATATATACTGTTTTTTTTTTGTTTTTTTTCTTTTTGTAAACCATATGTTTTTTTCCATGGGGCAAATTTCTTAAATATTTGGTGCGTATTTTTCCACATTATTTATGTTTAATGTGTTGGTTTTACTTTTAACTGGTTCGTCTAACCCTTCAATCAGTTTTGGGTGAATCAGTTTATTGACGTCAGAGTGATAAGCTGCACTAGCACCTGTTCAGCACTGGAAACAGTTTGACTAAAGATAAATGTGTCGCTAAGCAAAACGTCTCCATAATGATTCCTGCTGGTCTTGTCATTTGTGACAAGACCAGCAGGAATTTTCTGTGACATCTTTCAGTATTCTGGAACTGGTTGTTAATATTGCCAGATAGCTGAGCTGAGATTGGTTAGTTTCAGTGCCTGCTACCTGCTCACCATTTTGAGATACTGGTTGTTGTGCTGGAAATGTTTATTTGCTTCAGATTATCAAACTCGACGGCAGACTTAACATTTTACAGAGTCGCTCCATCTGCATGCCTGTTCATTTCATCGTGTACTTTTCATGACACAGCACTGTGTACATGGACGTTCTGCTGGAAATCAGTCCAGTAGAAACAGTATTAGTTGAAAAAAAATGGCAACAGTTTCACAGGATTTTATCAGTTTTTATATGTTTTGTTTATCTTCTCTCAAAGTAAGTAAGGTTTGTTCGCAGATGGGAATCATTGGTGTATTGAGCAGTAGGGTTTAAATGAACCCGACAGTAGCTGCACTTCCATTACAAATAGTAGCTAAACTCTGTCAATATTCCGCATATGTCAAAAAAAACACTGTTTTGCAATTGTGGCATTTCCATCAAAATAAACACAAATAAAATGACACATAAATAAGTTTGTTCTCACAGTAAGCCATTAAAGATGTGGCGCCATCCTCTGACCACTTCTTGTCATCTCATTTCGTTGCTCCAGTAACATCTGGTTGTCAATCATGTGATTTATGTGACGCAAAAGTCTTTCTGTTGGAGTTTTATGAAATAAACCAGGTTCAACATAGCCAAAAAAATCCCACTTCATTCTAGTGCCAAAACTTACCAAAAAACTGTTTTTTGGGGGAAAACTGCATTAGCAGATTTATTTACAAAATGTCAAATTGCGCAATTATACGGTCAATGGTAACAGCTATTGTTTCAGTAAATGCGCCTGTTTGTCCCGGAGCCTGGAGTGGGCCCTGCTCGTCCTGTCCTTGAGCGTGCCAATGCAGGCGTTGTGCTTGTTGCTCTGAAGGTGATGCCAGTACTTTAGCAGCTCATTGGGATGGAAACCGTGTGACGTTATCAGGTGGCTGTACTTGCAGCTGGAGTACGCCACCCGCCAGTGGTTGAACAGGAAGCCGTTGGGCGGAGGCGTAGGCTCAATCTGCAGCTCGGCCAGGCAGATTCCCACGTACACATCCTCCAGGTGCAGGAGGCGCACCCTCAACGACGTCCGGTAGATTTTCTCGGCCAGGTCCCCAGAAAAGACGTAACCTGTCCCGGAGCAGAAGGTGGGGTATCTTTCACCCGGGTACAGTTCGGGGGGCATATACCACTTGCTGTTTCTGTTCCGGTTGGGTGCGAAGCCTCTCATGTTGTTGCCCGTGAAGTAGTTCTTCCTGGGCTTCAGATCCGGCCGCAGCAGCTTGTAGACGAGGTACTCCGTGTTGACGAACATGTCGCTGTCGGTTTTCATCACGTAGCTCGCTGTCGGACAATGCGTTGCCACCCAGTTCATTCCCATCAGAGTCTTTATTGTCAGGTTTTTATAGGAATCCAGGAAGTCCTGCTGGATGATGTCGTGATGCCTCCGGCTCTCTGCCTCCAGCATCTTCTGCTGCAGAAGTCCCAGCTCTCCATCTTTCTTTCCCAGCAGAAACAGTCGGATAAATCCCAAGGAAGGGAAAACACTCTCATTCCCCCAAGTCTGCCGGATGGCGTTCCTCGCTTCCACCTGACGAGCTTCAGTGGCAATTAGCAGGACGAGAAATGGGGCAAGTTTGCACTGTTGGCATTTATCTGGCTCGTTGATGACATAAGGGAAAGGTCCGTGGGTCAGAGTAGCATTCAGGGCTCCCAATTGCCTCTGGCTGCTGTTGCCTGTCAAATTATCCTCAAAGCCGGCGTTGCTACGATGAAAAGAAACACTGATGTTGGCACTGGTCATCAACGTTCCCTGGGGAACGATTACAAACCTCCACGCTGAGTGTGCGGTGCTGCCGTTCCATTTGCTCCTAGCGGTTTGAAGCCCCGTTCCTCCGTACACCACAGGGTAGCCCCTCCACCACGGGATCCCAGAGAGCTTGGGGAGCCACACTTGGTGGACCAGAAACACGAGGAATCCCAGCAGAGAGAGGAGATAGAGAAGTTTGGCCGTGTGCGTACAACAGTGGCGTCGTCTCCACTGCATTGTTCTGTGTCCTTCAGCCGCTCTCTGATCACAGAAGTGAAGAGTTTGTGTCGGGTTTAAAGGTTGTTCACTCTGCAGTATTTATTTACATCTGTGCCCGCACCATGAGATAACCTAGGAAATAAAGAAAATGACTATATTACTAGGTACAGAAATAGAAATAACAGTTGTGTAGATGCCTAGAAATATTTCAAAGTATAGAAGCATTGGATCATTTTTGGGTTCAACATCACATTTCAGACCATTTTTGAGGATTCTTAGCATAACTGGACTATCACAACTCTGGAAAATATAAAACCAAAATCATATTTTGTACTGCTACTTCAAAAAAACTCAGAAGTAGATAAAGTATATTTAAAAATTGCAAAAGGGGAAAAAAACAACTCTAGATTGTTTGCCTACAAAATCCTGTTCATTTTTAGAGGTCTCAAAGGGTGATCGAACTCTGACCCACCTTCAAACCTAGTTTGGTTGAAGTGAACTGGTGCGCTTTGCATGCATATATGTGAACACCGAGCAGACCGTTGACTGCTCCAAAAGCAGGAAGCAGACTACAGCGCAAGGCTTACTTGGTAAGTGCAAACATGTAAGCTTAGCGCTAACAGGAGAAATGGCTAGCGCTTTGGATAAAGAAAAATCCTACAGCCGCTAAAGTCTGACAATACTTCATTTTTGTTTACATTTTGTAAAAAAGGAAGTTGCGCTCAGTGTGTTCTTCAGATGTTTTCATGTCGTATCCTTCAGTGGTTCTGGGTGCAACGCCCAACACAGGCTTTGGTGAGGAACGGGTTTTTCAAGGGGTTTGATTTGTTTGACAGTTCAGAGTGAACGTGAACCGCAGCGGCTGAAAATGTCACAATTTTGGTTCCCTTGTTGTTCAGCATCCAATTGTCATCTGAAACTTTTTAAATGTTGCCAAAACAAAGTGAATCAGGCATGTCGAGCCAGTCAACGAGGCAACACAAAATGTGATTCTGAATTGTAGACATTAAGGACCACACATCTGAGAAAAACGGAAGGAGCTTTTCAGTCATGTGTTATTACTCTGTCGCGTATTGGTCATGTTGCATGCTGTCCCTGGACATGGAGAAAGAAATTGGACTCTGAACATTTATTAAACCCGTTATCCCCAGCAAGCTTCAGTGCTACAATAGGAGTAAATGTTAAAGACTAGTGTTTTAGTAAGACATGAGGTACTAATTTACTTGTAAGGAAATGTGAAGCAATATGCTTTTGGAGAACAAATTTGGTTCATCAAACAAAACAGAAATCTTAAGAAGCTGTTTGTGTGTGTAAAGCGTGGATCTCAGATGAACTGGAATCGTTGTTGAGTGATCTGCTTTTTTTTTAAACACGCCAGTCTATTTTAGCTGAACTAAATATGTAAACGAAAGCCGAGAGTCACGGTCAGCTGCTCCAGGGCTCTACCTACAGTGCAGATCCCGACGTCAACTCTGAAAGCCAGCAAAGCTTGAAAACAAAGACTATCTTGTTTTGTTTTGGGGGGTTTTCTGATCTGATCTTGTTTGGTGAAATGCTGATGAAAATGAAGAATGTGTGCTAAACGGTCCTTTGGAGGCTTTTTTTGGGGGGGGAAGTTACAGTTATCAGAACATCATCAAAGCTTTAATTGTTGGACGCGTGTCCTTTGTGCTGCAGAAGCAACAATGGTCACACATGTTTTGTGATATCAGGGCCTCTCTGCGCTTTCTGAGGTTTGATCCACGCGTCTCCATGCTGTTGAAATCAAGGTTGTGTTTGTTTTGGTGAATATTTGGAGCACTAATTTTAAAGCAGCCCAGAGGAGTGCGTAGTCATCGCTTCATGAGTCACCCTTAACTGTTCTTACTCATCCCAGCTCAGCTCACTGTTCAGGCACCAAAGTTGTTGATCGGCTCGTGAACGCCTCTCACTCTCGACTGATGGAGAGACAATTGGATTTGTACAGTAGCCAAGTATTCAGGTTCTTGATCTATGTCACAGTTTTGGGTAGAACAGTTTTTCCAAATATTTTTTTTAATCTCAGTTTCAAAATGTTTTTTTTTTTTTTGTACAATTTTAGCTTAATAACTGCTCTGAGATTTCCCCGGACCACTTGTGACACATTTGCGATCCTAATCAGTAAGTGATTGCTTATATTCTTATTTTCACCTTTTCACACTTAAATTTAGACTAAAGAAACAAAAACCCATGTCCTTATTCTCGTAGTTTTCTTTTTGTTCTGCATGTTCTCTAAAGCAGTTGACATAAAGTTAACGGGTGTGCTTTTGCAAACACTCCTCTTGTTTCAACAGAGAAATGGAAATTTAGCCCAAAATCCTGATTATTGCATAACCAAGAAAGAAAAGAAAAAAAAGAGAGATGAATTTACGGTTCCTTCTAGCACATTTAATACATTTGATAGCAAACCCATCACTTGTAAAAGAAATTAGCTTCCAGTAAAATCCTGTTGGCTTACCAGAACTTTGATCTTTGTCTGGCGGAGAGAAGTACGTTGTTCAGAAAGCTAAAACCCAGAGCATGACTTCCTTAGCCGTAGATCGCTTTGATTCCCCAAAAGACTGACTCTCTGTATCATCACCACCAGCAGCAGCCTGAAGCTGAGTGAGCTTTGACTTCTCATGTTTACTCATGTTAACAGAAGTAAGCAGTTCTCTACCGTTTCCTGAAACTAAAGGGTTTCACCAGGACAGTGAGAACTGAAGAGTTTCATCTCATCTTGACGAATCAAAACAGAGAAACAGAAATGTTTCCCTCTTAAGTTGACACACCCTTCACATCCTGTAGGCTCCGTTAAAAGCGGGTAATTCTGTAGCAGGCCACTGCAAGGTCTGCTAATTTCACCTCGTTGGTATTTTCTCCTTTTTTATCCGTTGTTGAATGACAGCCGTGCAGTGCAGGCTCGGACGGCTCATATCCTCCCTCGTTTCCTCCAGAGCCCACGATGAACCCTCCTGTTTTCTTGCTGCAGCTCAGACCGATCGCTTTTCACCATCCTGCTATTTGGAGTGGGAAAACGACGCATTCATCCGGTCGCGTAGCCGCCGCTCTCCCCTCACACATCAGCTGAGCGTACGTAAAGAGCTGAAGTGTTGCAATCTCTCCATCTGTCTTGATGCATTGTCCCCCCTCCTTCCCCCTCTCCGGCCCCCGAGGCTCGTTCTGACGCTGCCGCGATGCAGCTGCCTGTGGCTGGAGGAGAAAGAAGCGGAGGAGGCTGTAGGTGATGGTTAGCTGCAGCCGTGGGTCCTCATCACCATAGTCAAGACGTGTTAATCACAGCAGTAGTCATCAGACGGGCTTCACATCTCTGTTCAGTTTCTCTTCCTCTTTCCATTTTCATGCTCCTCTGCACTCTTTCTCTTTTGATTCACGCATGCTGTCTTCTCTTCCTACGTTCTCTTTCCAGTCCTCTTGTTGTTGTTTTTTTTCCTGCTCCTCTCTTGCCTTCCCTCATTCGGCAGCCTCTCGCGCTCTGTTTTCTGGCTGCAAACAGCGGGGGAGGAAAAGGACGGCCAGGAGGAGCGTGAGGCAGCGCTGTCAGATGTGCGTTTATTCTGAGAGGCAGCTCCAGGCTTGGTGGCATTACGCTCTCCCAGCACGTCACAGCGTCTCTGCTGCTGTTGCTGGCTGCTCTGTTAAAGAGGGGAGGCGGGGGCCGGGCTACTGACCTATTTGTATTCACACCCACTCCCCAGAAAGAAGATTAAAGTATGATCTGAATTTGGCATGCTGTGAAGCAAGAGAGGAGAGAATTCTCTGTCGACATTTTGAACACATTAGATTTCCTAATCGGATTTAAAGATAGAAGAAACTTCTGGTTTAATTTTCTCACACTGGCAATGATGGACTGAGGAGAACTGAAACCTCTTACAGTCAGCATTCAGCGACTTGTGCTAATGTATCTCACTGAATGGCAATCCCAAACACATTACTAAAATACTGTTTCCATCGCACTTGTTTGCAGTGGCGGAAAAAGTCGGGGCGCCAAACATTGACAGAATGATTTTCTGTCTGTATATTTTTAATCAGCTGTTTGTGTGTGTAAATGATTTGATCAGGAACAGAGGCACTGATCAGGTGTCATTCCACTCCTTCATCTCCTTTCCCATCGCTTATGCCCCCCCCACACCCACACACACACACACACACACACACACACACACACACACACACTATAATCTTATGTTTATAGTGTGTTTGCAAACATGTCATGCTGTACATAGTTGTGACCCTACTTGTTTGCATTTTCTGAAAGTCTGTATCTTTTTAAAATTGCCATGTTGGCAAACGAGCAGCGAGATTTCCAATCAAGAATGAGAAGACAAAAAGTGTAAGAAGTGCAGAATTTAACACAAATTTTCTATATTTCTTAATGCCTAATAACAAAACCAACATTTCATTTGGAATGGACAAAGTGATCAAGCAAAAATAATTTAAAGAAATAAGGGAATAATGGAAAAATATGATTTTACAGTGGACCACCCAATATTCTAGACTCTTAGATCAAAGACAACAGTGAAGCACTAAAATCTGTAATACTTAATATCCTCAAAAAATGGTCATAGCTTCTTATTTTAATAGTTCAAACCCCAAATATTACTTAACATGCAATAGCACTGCCGCATAAGCCAACTTTTACTGCCAAAGTTTTAATTTACATGTTTTATTTTGTATTAATTGCCATAAAAGAAGAAGAGGTGGAAGTGATACCAACGTTTAGTCCTCCTTATTTCTCTAATGGGGCTACACCAATCAGCGTCAAGTATGACATCTCCAAAATGTAGCTAGATAATTATCTATCAGTCTGGTTATTGTAATGCAGATTGTCATATTAAGGAACATTTAATTTAACAGTCCAGTTCAGGACAAGATAATATATTCTGATTCAAATGCATTACCATTTAAATTCCTCCAGGCAGTCAATCAAAATGTTTCTTCCAGGTGTTACAATTCACATCATACAGCACGTTACTGGTTCTCCAATATATCTCCTATATATAGAGAGAATGAAATCTAGACTTTCAGCCTTAAAAAATGGTAAATCCTAACTAGACTGTGGATGAAAGATGCTCTGGGATAGTCCTGATTCATTTAGGTCAATGCATTTTATGTGGTAATAGACCCCAGACATTTTTTTATGACCGTGTCCCACATGTCATCATTCATCATTCTAAAATTTGAGATCGAAACATGTTGCATGTTTTTCCTCACAGTCTCTCCTCCCTTTAGGGATTTCCTGTCGTTGCCTTACTGCCGTGCATGATTTTAATCTTTACAGGGTTTTATTCCATGGTGCCGCTGATAGCGGTTGCCTATCAACTAGCCATCAATATCTGCTGGGCAAAACAAATGTGTGCTAATCTGTTTACGTTACCATGAAAGTGCTGAGATTGTGCCGATGTTATCCTCTTACGGTCGGATCCGAAGCGCCGCTGCCCGGCCGGCCCAGTGGTCCACAACATGGGGATTAGAGGGAAAGGAGTGCTCCTTTGAGATCAGCTTCATTTGAACATTTCTAACTTCTACGCTGGAGGAGAATCTAAACAGGAGCTATGAAATATTCAGTCTGTTTGGGATTTGTCCTAATGAAATATGAATAATTAATTCAAACTACTTTGGTGATTGCTGAAGAAGCCACAGAACACACTGTAGTTCAAAGTTAAACCACAGGAAGGCCGCTAGATTAAAACATTGATTTAGAAAAAAATTTAAACTTGGGTTTGCTTGGGGAGCTTTCTGCTGTAGTTTAGCCACAGCAGAATCTGAAATTCACTTTTTAAAATTGGGGAAAGGAGAGGGGTGTTGAGCTTTACTGCAGGCCTCTTATTGTCTAAGATGCAGCTCTAATTTGTTGTCTCTTTTGCCTTCCTTTTTGTCATATTAGCAGTGTCACACTAAGGAGGATTGACAACGCTTAGACCCTCCCCTGGCTCTGATCAGTGGTTCCTCATTAGCACTGATGGGAGGCGGAGGAGCTCAATTTCTTTGTTCTGCAGATTATCTGCCTGGTACCATACTGTCATGGCACAGCCACAGATTCAACAAATAAAAACATACATTTCAGGAAATCAAGATTTCTCTTTCCCTTGTAAAAAAAAAAATTTTTTTTTTTTTAAAAGAAATTGGTACCTTATTGAAACTTGAGCAGCTTATGCTCCTGTCTGAACCGTCAGTGATTTTGAAGGACGGTCAACTTCCCTTCAAACTAAATTTAGCTCTTTTTAACTTCTCCACTTTTTTTTTCTCACAAAAAACATTCCTGTTTATCATGTTTACCTTCACATATCTCAGACACAAACCATATGTTGTTCAGCTGTGTGTAACCATGGTGTTTTCATTTTCCATTTGAAGGAAGGAGCGTCTGCCCGGAAGGCCCAGACCCCGGCGCTGCAGCCAGTACCCCGTCCAGGTCCGAACTGACTTCAAATCTTTACATATAAACATTGTGCTTCCAGTGTACTTTTTCCAAGTATTATAAAATGACCTGCACTCCTGTGAAAGCGCACATTAAACACGGTCTGTTTCTTCAAATGCTGTTTGTTAATAGCTGATAAAGACAGGAAACGTCCACAGCTCAGTCAGTTCAGGTGATGAGAAAGAAGTGACCTCAGTTTGGGTTTCACCAAAATGGAACTTGGTTGCACACTCTATAAATAGAAGTATTGTTCTGTCTGGATAAAGCTACGATTGGAGCGACTTGATTTATATTGTTTCTGAAAACAATTTTTCTCATCTTTTTTTTTTTTTCTTTTTTAAAGTTTCACAAGCCAGACCTCCACCAAATCAGAAGAAAGGTACACATCTGCTGCCCTCTATGTAAATAGCAGCTAATGTGAGACGTTCACTGACCTTCCTGCTCGTTTTTAACACTTTGCCTGCAGGATCCCGAACCCCCATCATCATCATTCCTGCTGCCACCACCTCCCTCATCACGATGCTCAATGCTAAGGATCTTCTGCAGGATCTGAAGTAAGATGTGGATGTGATGGGGGGGGGTTGTTGTTGGTGTTGTTTTTGCCTTTATCTGCCTAGTTTAGATAAAATGGCTGACATGTAAAAGTGATCTCTACCCCCGCAATATTCAAGTCACGTTTATCTGTGTAGCGACGTTTCAGATGCCATCATCAAGCAAATACACATCAAATTATGGATCAATATTCCAGTTACATTAATCAAAGACGTCTCTAAACAAGTGGATTTTTAGACTCGATTTAAAGGAGTTCAGTGTTTCAGCTGTTGTGCAGCTGTCTTGAAGTTTGTTCCAGATTTGTGGTGGATAGAAGCTGAATTCTGCTTCTCCATGTTTGGTTCTGGGGATGCAGAGCAGAACCAGAAGACCTGAGGGTTCTGGAATTTTGATACAACAGATTTTGTGGTGCTCAGCTGTTCAGTGATTTATAAACTAGCAGCGTTTTAAAGTCCATCCAAAGAAATCGCCGTTCATTGGCCAAGATTCGAACCAACTGGGAAGTGTTTCCCAGTTGGTTCAAGGTCACTAGTCAAATGCTGCGTCACCGTGGTTCTTCCACCAACTGTATTTATGTGGATGTCATTGACCACTTTGATGGTCATCCTGTGGTGACCATGGAAACCAGTGGTGAACCGATACGATGTATGAAATGAACTCCAGGCACCAAAGGATTAGTCCTCCCAGTTGGATGGACGACCAACATAAACTAGATTTGTCCTCAAACGGCGAGCCTGAATCCTTCAAACCCGTTTCCAGGTTCATTACATCAGAGGACAAGAAGAAGCAGGGCATCCAGCGGGACAACGAGGTTCTGCTCCAGAGGCGCAAAGACCAGATCCAGCCAGGCGGCGCCACGCTCAGCGTCACCGTTCCTTACCGCGTCATCGACCAGCCGCTGAAACTGGCTCCACAGGACTGGTGAGCTGCTGCTTTTCATTCAGAGTCTCTGTGAAGAGAACTCTGCTCTGCATCACCTCTGTTTCCAGCTGTGGAAGGAAGTCACAGTCCAGTTTATTTTTATTTTTTTGACACAACAGTATTTACATCATTTACTACTTCCTTTTCCCTATGCCTCATATCATTAATGATGATGCTGTCAAGAATATAGTTAACTATCAGAACAGGCCTTTTCTGGAACCCAAGTTTTAAATTCATAGCCAATCAGTATCAAGACTGTACAGTTAAAGTGGACAGGAATGAAGTAAACTGGACACCAAAGTATCAGAAAAGTGGAGCTAAAAGTCCAGTAACCTACACATCAATGATTGAGATTATCACTGAAAAGCTCATTTACTTGGAGAATTTAATTTAGATTGTGAAAATCACAGTTAGGTCTGTCACAATAACAAATTTTACTGGACAAATTGTTCCAGACGTCACTGTGATAAACCATATGGTCGTTGTTCAAATAGCATTATGGTAATGGCATAATAATGCAAAAAGGCATCCTCAAAAATCAGTACATTATAATTAACCTTTAACTTGAAGTATTTACAATTTATAAACAAAAGAAGAGATAAAGTAAGTTTTGAAGTTTGTGTAAACAAAATTGTCCTTCAAAATAAAAAAGGCTGAGAGGAAAGGACCAGACTGGAGACCAGGTTTGACAGAAAGAGAGAGAAAAGTGAAACATGACATGAAATTTAAAAAAAAGTAGAAACAGGACAGTCAGAACCAGAGGGAATAACCGTCTTAAAAAACAACTTTTGAACCAAAACATTATGAACAAATGTACAAAATTAACAGTCAGGATGATGGACTGAAAAAAAAAACTTTAAAGGGTTAATAGAGGAGCCGTTTGGGCTCTTTCTGCTGCGTGGCTCCATGGTTCAGCTAAATGGTGTAGTTTCAACAGGTGAAACCGTGTCAAAATAACCCACGAGTTTCCTTTTTCTCCGAAAATCTGTGGACCTTCAGCAAATCAGTCAAGCTGCAGCGCGCCGCACCGCCTGCAACTTCCTCCCGTTTCAGTTCGGTCGCTTTGTGTTCCTGCAGGGACCGGGTGGTGGCCGTGTTCGTGCAGGGTCCTGCCTGGCAGTTCAAGGGCTGGCCGTGGCTGCTGCCCGACGGATCTCCGGTCGACATTTTTGCCAAAAGTGAGTGAAAGGCCTTTCTGGCTCACGAGGACACAGTGGGTGAAATGCAACCTTCTCACCGCGCGCTGCCCTCTCCCCCCTGCAGTTCGGGCCTTCCATTTGAAATATGACGAGGCGAAGACGGACCCGAACGTGCAGAAATGGGACGTGACCGTCCTGGAGCTGAGCCGCCACAAACGCCACCTCGACCGACCCGTCTTCTTACGCTTTTGGGAAACCCTCGACAGGTGTTTACTCCTTCCGTCTGTGATTTCCTTGACCTGATTTCGCAAAACTATAACTTACCTGTTTTTGTCTTCTCATCTCTCTTTCTTTAGATACATGGTGAAACACAAATCTCACCTCCGGTTCTGAGCTCAGATCAGTGTTTCTCTCTGAAATTCCCTCACGTTAATTCCACAGCCTTCCAACTCGGCTCGGTCTTCATGTTTTTCTAGCAGCCGAGTCATCCTCCACCCTGAATCCCGAGGCCGACGGAACAGCCAACGGATTTCCCTGGAAACTCCCAAAGCGTCTGGAGTTTTCCCTCTGAACATAAGAAAAGTTTTTCATGGGTTTTTCTGTTTCAGACCCAGTTTTTGTTTTATTTTGTTCTGTTGTGGGTCCCTCCCCCCCATTAAGTTTCCAGGTAGCTCAACAGAAAAACCAAACTATGTTTGATATAAAATTCTACAAACTGTGGAAACGGTTAAAAAACAAGCTACCTAGCAACAAAACCTGATGGAGATGTTTCGGGTTTCCTTGTTTTAGGCCGTCGTTATCAAGGAGATTGTTGCTTTCTGCTCAGAACTGTTCGGATCGGGGAAAACAACTGAAGCGACGTAGAACTAAGTTGGAGCGCAGAGACTCTGACGACCTTCTGATTTAGCGTGTTTGTGGCCATTATGTACATACATGATAAAACCTGAGAGAGCCGAAGCTCTTTGAGCAGAGACGGCTGCAGGTGAGTGATTCAGTTATCTAAGTCAGTTCCTACTTCTGTTTTTCACGCCATCAGCACCTCCACCGGTCATTTAATGACTGTCTTCTTTTTCTTCTTCGTTGGTGTTGTGCTAGATGAGAATAATTGCTTTAAGTCACCACATGAGAACGGACAATAAAGCCTTTGTGAAACACCTACATGGATGTTGTTGGCTGGGCTGTTTGTGGCTTTCTTTCAGGACTTTTATAGAATGGCGTCAAGAAAACCAAAGTGTTCCCAAAATATCTTTCATGGGCCGATCTTAGTTTCTTTTTGTTTTTTCTTGTGTCTTACTACTTACCCTCTTTCTCTTTCCTTTTTTCTATCCTCCCCCTCGTCTTTCATTCTTTGGGACCTTCTTTTGATTCTTGGTTCCTTCATTGTCCATCCCTCCTCTTTCTATCCCTCTGTCCTACCTCGTCCCCTCATTGTTACTTTCCTATTTGTCCCTTTTCTTCCTTGCCTTGTTTGCTTTTCTTACCCACTTGTCTATATCTCTTTTCTTTCTTTTCTGTCCAACATCGTCTCATTTCCCTTCCAAATGTCCTTCCACTTGCCTGATCTCTCTTTGTTTCCTTGTTGTCCTTCCTTTCTTTACTGTACTTAACATCTTTGGGTCCTACTTTCTTTTTTTCTCAAGCTGCTCTAGTCTGGAAATATCACCAGAGGCTCATAAAAATGTTTCATTTTTATGTCTTAAACGGATGTGAACATCTATGAATTCTAGAAAGTTGAATCAGGAAAAGTCTACAATTTTTTTTTTCTGATATAAAAAATGAATCCTGCAACCTGTAAGCAGTCGATTTAAAACCAAACGGCTGTTTTTGTTTGAGACCTTCAACAAATAATTGGGGAAAACGCGATGAATGCAGATAACAGTCGCGCGACTTTGAATTGAGTCAAATGATGTTGGACTCAGATTTCATAAAGACTCAACTCGACTAGGGCCGTTACACCAGTGGCTCGTCACTTCATTGGACCTAAACCCTTTGACTTGAAAAGATTTCATCTGAAACCAAGCATGTTCACAAAAATACGGGATGTCGGAGCTGCCACAAATAGGTGGCCATTTTTGTGGGTAACAAAGAAAGGCTGTAGAATGGAAGGCAACTGACTTTTTACTTTTTTGTGTTGTTTTCAAGAATTAAAGTAAAATACAGTTTTTTTAACCTCGCTTCCTCCACTCAAGCAGGTGCCTTCATTTAGGTTTCAGATACAATGTTTCAGTGTGATAGTTGGGCTAAAAACACTTTAACAAATTGCTTTATTTCGCTACATGCAAATTAGTGAGGTGCATCATCTTAACAGAAACAGCAAAACAATCGATAAACTTTGGAAATAATGAGCTAGTCCTGCTAGCTTTCATTCACTGCTTATGGGCTCACATTATTCGTTTATTAATTAGCTTTAATTTATCATTTTTTGTGTTTAAATGTCGGAAGCAAATCAGATGTTTGTTCAACCTACATTTATTCTTTTCGATCATGTCTGTTCAAGTAAATTATTTTTTTCTGGTAGATGGGATGATGAGAATTTACTAAAATCTAACTCCAACTGAGTTGGGAAATAAAACGTTATTTCATTTAATATTTACTGTAAAATTCACAGCAGAGACTTCACTTTCTTGTGCTGCTTGTTCATACAATTCAGAATCCCAAATTACTCTGATTTACGTCACAAATTCAGTCAAATGACTTGCTTGTAATTCTTAATTGCACATCTAAATGGATTTAACTAGACCTGGCGGAAAGCCTTTGTACTTGCAGTACAAAGGCTTGGTTACGTCTCATCAATACCAGTGAAACAGAGAGTTGAGTCTGGTGGTTTTGTGGCACCGTTGGCCTGATTGCAACAGTTTGAATAGTTTCCTGGAAAGGGTATAAGGACCACTGCAATATTCAGTTTGGTAGAATCTTGCAGAGGATGCATGTATGCTTTATTAGTCATCTTAAATGGACGACCTCAGTTAGGAACGACTGTCCTGCACGGTTCAGTCTACTGAAATAAGATATTCCCAAAATAAAGTCCTGGTAGGTTCATGTGATTCTGTTTGTCGCTTTGACACATTTTTCCTTTATGAATCTGAGTAAAACGCTTTCAGTGTAAGCATTTTCCTTATGGCTTATATTGTATAAGAGAGCAACACCAAAAGACCTGCCTGGTATTTATAGAATTTGACTTTATGTGTGTGTATATATATATATATATATATATATATATATATATATATATATATATATATGTGTGTGTGTGTGTAATTAAAATGATATATTTTTAAATAAACCATGACTTACAACTATTAGGGCCTTTCAAGAAAATATACAATTACAAGAATAAACTTGCATAATAAAAAATCATGAAGTCATAGTATTATAATAGTCACATGAGAATACAGTTGTAGTATTATGAGAAAATATTTCAAGAAAAGTCAAACTCAACAATAGTCACATTCTCAAAATTTGACTCCATGCTCGTCTTGCATCGACTTTATTCTCGAAATATATTCTCGTAATACTATGATTTTATTCTAATGCTATCCCGCTTTCTTTCACGTAATATTGACTATTTTCTTCACGTGGCCTTGACACTCCGCCCTGTGAACACAACTGATCTCGCCGCTCTTTGCCAGCTGTTTGTTCAGAACCAGTGTGTTGGCACAAACCTGTGCACCTGAAATTTACCATGGTTTTCTTCTTATGCAACACCCAGCTTGAGAGGTGAAAGGTGACGCCCCCAAGGGGAGGAGGAGGTGTGGGGCAAAATGTTGGCCATCCCAGGGAATCGTGTTGAGGCATAAACTGTTATCTTCAATCAGGGTGTAAATGTAAAACCCAATAAATAAGAAGGGCAACAGCAGCGTTGGGCTTGATATGTTTGTCTGTAAACTGACTATTTTGTCAGGGGGGCATGAGTGATGCTTAAGACCAGTTTAAAACTTGAGTGGAAGGAAAACATTTGGTAGAAAAACCATATGCAAGAAAAAGGAATAACTGCAATCTTTTTATTATTATTATTTGTCATAAGTCCTTTACTAATCAGCACTGCAGTGTAGATTTTTAAAAAAATCTCACCATAAGAATGTTTAACTTGAAAACTGTTTTAAATTTACTAAAAGTTCTCAATTCAAAACTGGATATTCCATATATTCCAAAATATAGGATGTATGAAATCATAACTATTAAATGTGGCAGGAGCAGTAGCAATAATTCATGATTTTCTATTTTAACTCAAATAAAAAAATTTCTGCTGAATAACTTTGTTTTAATTTTCCCTCTAAATAACACATAACACTCTAATATCGTACCCTTGTATAGAGTATTTTTACTTCCAACTGAGACCAAGCCAAGCGTCGCTCTTATAAATTTGAGGCAACACCGCCGCCTACTGGAGCCACAGTGAACTACTTGTTCTATTCAAACAACCTGTTGAAAGGCTCAACTTGATGCAGGCAAATCTGTTGACTTTACTACGTGTTTCTCCTGCTACATCCCAAACCAACGACTGTGAATACAATCTGATATGGCAAAAAATAAATAAATAAAAATAAAACGGAACACACAAAGATGCAGTGAACATGAATCCCTGACTGTTCCTGGAACTGGTTGTTTGTTTCTAAACCGTTCTGTTGGTTCTGTTGAGCAGTGTGGCCCTGACCTCTGAACGCAATTATTGTGAAACTTGGTGTCCTAATAAATACATTTGAGCTCTTTGATTGAATCCAAGTATCATCCAGCTGGTTTTAGAGCTGGATGATGGCATAACTAACCCCCATGTGGAGATGATGTGACCCTGTATTTTATGGGGGGGAAAGGGGGTTGTGTGTGTGACTAATTTAGAAATATTTAAAGAAAAAAAAAGGTACATCTTTTTTTTTTCATTATTATTGATTACATGTGCTTTCTGTCGTAGCAAATTTGTTTGCGCTGTTTTGGCAGCACTACTGTTTACTCCCAATTTGCCAACTTTGGAAATCTGCCCTGAATAATCATTAACTGCTTCTGTCCGGAGCTGGGATTTTGTTCCGCTCCACAGAGGAGCTTTGTTATTCCTGACAAAATGTGTGTGAGGTATCTGGGACTTGTGCTTCTGGCTTGGCTTCCTGGCCTTCTGCAAGGTGAGAACGTTTCCCTGAGCTACCCATTCATTTTGATCATCCACTTCTTGTTAATAAAAAAAAAGAACAATTTACTGACTGATTTGTGTATATGTGTGTCTTTCTTTCAGCTCAAATGCATTGTAGTCCTCCACAGCTCACTCGTGGCTATTTTGTCCCACAGCAGGAAAAATATAATCATGGACAAACGTTGACTTATAGCTGTGACACTGGATTTAAGCCGGTGGTGGAGGGCTGGTGGGCAAAAAGCACATGCCAGAACGGCGACTGGACTCACACCCCTAACTGCACAGGTGAGTTACAGGGCTTCTCCAGCAGACGTCTGGATTTCATTGAACTGAAGATCCGTGTTTGCAGGCAGCGTTCTGAACAGCAGTACTATTTGCAGTGTCACGGGTCGTTTATCAAATGTCCTTTAGCTGCAGCCAGAGGAGAACTGCAAACGACTTGAAAGTGTCGCGCATGCGCAGTACACGGCGCAATAACGTCACGCGTAGAGCGGGGACCCGATGTTCGCGCTTCTTCTCGTAAGGCTAATGGCGGATCGCCTCTTTCGACTTTAACAGCTGCTGTCCGGCCGGAGCCAGGCGCAGTTACAACTCAGTACTCGTCACCGTCCGCCGTGGTGGTTGTTTCTCTTCCCGCTTGAGCGCATGAAGAAAGACGCGGACATTTTGAGAGCACTCGTTTTCCGTCTGAAAGCAGGACTTCCGTCTTTATTTTCCCAAGACTTGAAAAGCTCGAGCTCAAACATTCACCGCACTTTCACAAACCAAACTCCTCGCGCTCAAAACTCGTCACTTCTCGCCTCTCTGCTCTCTCCAGAAAGTCCAGTCAGACCAAAAGCCCGGGCCGCGGACCGGTACCGGGCCGAGCAAGAAATAAAATGTTTCCGTTTTATGTATTATTTGAACCTCCACATCTCAGCTGTTTGGGATTCCCCTCTGTGCTTACGTCACTGCGCTTTTTGATTGGCTACGTGTCACATTCAGAAAACCCAATACCTGCGATTAAAGGGCCGAGACAATCCAACATGTCGAATACGCCAGATGTCGAATAAGATTGTCCTACGGTGAAAATTGGGGAAATTTTTAAAAAATTATTCCATGTGAACTCGGCTTTAGCCGACATGCCAACATAAAGAACGGTCGGCGGTGATAAAAAGGTTGAGGACCATTGACAGGACTCCAGTCATTGTCCCCCTCCAGGAAGGTGTTGTAGCTAAGTAGAACCACAAACCAGATTTAAATGATAAATGGTAAAATAAGGAATTTTACTCCATTAAATTAGAAATTGATTTTTTAAATTATAAAAACAATACACTAGTAAAATTGAAAAATGTAATTCCATAAAATAAGCTAAACTAAATTGGGTGCTGAATTTCCTAACAGTCATTTAATCAACAATATATTTATATTTCTTTATCTACTCCTTATACTGACAGCCTTAGATCCTCTCAATACAAAGCAAAATATTAAGTCACCATCATGCAGACTGTGGCTGGTATCTTCAAACTAATTATCTAACTCCTACCTTTCTCAGATATTAGCTCCTGCCTTCCACTTGCTTTTGAAAATGGGAAGTACGAAAACGCACAGAGGGGTTTTTATAATAACCAAGAGACGACCAAGATCATCTGTGACGATGGGTTTGACACGAAACTCCGCTCTGGCAGTATTCAGTGCTCAAACGGAACATGGTTTCCCCTGCCTGTTTGTGAGAGTGAGTCCATCAGATATTTGAGCTGAAATATTAATGGGACACAAGCAAGAACCAATACAAGTTTTTGTGTTTGTCCTAAAGATAGCACTTTCATTTTACAGGAAACATTAATGCATGCGATAAGCCTGGTGAAATCCCCCATGCCGTTATCATCAATCAGGAACTCAAGGAGGTTTACAGTCATAACTCTCGCCTAGAGTATCAATGTGAAAATGGATACACTGCAGGTCAAGCAAATTACGGAGGAGCTATCACTTGCCAAGACGGATCCTGGACTGAACCACAATCATGCAGTAAGTGGACAAAGACACTGCAGCCAACACATTCTGTTGCAGGTGTGAAACATGTTGGAGCTGCAATGAGACCATCAGGTCAAAACTAAACGGCATTTTAAAAGCTGCAGAAAGAGTTTGGTTGGTGTTCACACCACTGGAGCCATGATTCATCAATCCTGCTTTCTCTTTGTTTAAAAACACCGCACTGAATTTAAACCGCAACCCGTGATGAGCTTCAGTGTTCAACACCGCTTACATTAAGTTAACTTAATGAAATCAGCTAACTGACTCACTGAATTAAATCAAACGTGTAATAAGATGTTGGTGTGTAAAGCATTCCTTTTAAATCAGTGATATAATCATATTTTAGCAAATGAACACAAAGTGTTGTTATGGTTACCGCTCTCCACAAGGTTTAGTATGACTGCAGGAGTTTTAAGTGTAATCACCGTTACAGATTGATTTGTTACAGGAACTACAGAATGATGGCTTTCAGTTTTGTCAGTGGAGCCTTTCTCTCTTGCACTCATGAGAAAGCAGCTGAGAAAGACGTCAGCTGGTGCTCCTGCAGTGAAAGTCCTTCTCGGCATCAGGATGTAATTTGAACAGCCTGGCTGTCGCAGAGCAGAAATGGACAGAAGAAAATAGAAGGTTTCAAAAATGTACATTCTTGAGTGAAACTTTTCAGGTCACTTGATTGAACCACTACATTACTCTCCTTCACAACTTAAGATGTGAAGGAGAGAGATGATTGGAACAACAAAAACTGGGAATGCTCAGCTATTTGGAAAAGAAGGCGACAGGTTTCTGGGTCTGATCTCGTCCCAGTTCTGGTGGCTGAAATGACTGGAAATGGAAGTGACTGGATCAAACCCAGAGAGGAACAATGTAGAGTCTGCTTGGTTTGTAGTCATTACAGCTACATCAAGCAATCAGGCCCAAAATCTAGTTTATATACATTATGCTAGTTACGTGAATAAAATGTGATATTTTGCTCATATAATTTTTTTTCTAAACAGTTTGATCTTTTGTTTCTTTAAAGTTCCTGCAGTTTGACGCTGTGTGTTGGATCTGAGTAGAGTCAATGTTGACCAAACTTTACAGATCAGCATAGAGGATGGAGAGACAAAATTGATTGAGTGTAGTTGGTGGGGGGACAAGTGGATGCTTGCCACGTGCTCAAATGGAAAAATAGAAGCAACACAGTGTGAGTAACATGATACATTAATTTTATTTCCAGGTAATCTATAATGTGTCTAACAGGCAGGATGTAATGGTTTTTAGTGAAAAGGCTTTAAACAGGAAAACCAAAGTAAAACATTGCTCTCAATGTTAAATTCAATTTCAGTCTAGTTTCAGGGAAGAAGTTGACTTGGCAATTCATTGATTCACCTGATCTAAAAACAACAACATGAATCCAAGAGAAGTTTTAATAAAGCAGCTTTTTAATTTACAAACATTTTTAAAATGACTCAGTTCCTTCTTCATTTTGATGTGGAATTCAAAAAACATACAATCCATCAATGTTTTGATGAATTTATTGGCACCTCAAAAATCCAACATTTATAAATGACCTTTGTTTGTGTGTTTCTAGGTTGCTCTCGCAGCGACGAGATTCAGCAAGTAAGTGTTATTTTTGGACAAATCTGTCCAATAATCACATCATTCTGAGACAGTTTGTCTGCTGAAATGTTAATCACTCCTAAATCCAATTTATTTGCTGTGTCTTGTTAGAATGCTTGCAAATTTACCGAAACGCTGTAAGATCTCCTGGCTTTGGATTCATCCACCGCAAACAGAGAATGAAGTGACATCAGAAACACCTGGAAGGAAACTTTTTCTTTTTTCATTGACATTCTGCTGTTTGTTGACAGTAAATATAAAATGCTTGACTTTGTCTAAAATAAAATATTTCGACAAGATTTCAATCAAAGGGGTCCTTTGTTTTGTTCACCCTCACACTGTGTTAAAACTGGTTTTCGACTCTATTGTATGTGAGATCTGGTGCTGTTCATGGAAGCTGGAGCCGATCCTGTGACCCTGATCAGGCTTTAAATATGACTCTGTGTGCTTCGGCGGGAAAAATGAGTATGGACGATGTGCAACACACAGGGGCGCCACTATAGGGGGGTTTGGCTGTTTGGAGTCACCAATGACATCTACCAGTGAAACTTTAAGGAAGACGGAAATAAACGGATAACAACAAAATAATGATCTGATGTGGCGCCCCCTGTGGTGACCTTGGAAGGCTCAGTTTCTCCTGGATGTTTTCATAAACAGGATGCTCTGCTCCCTCTGCCCGTTCCCTCCCAACAGGACTCCTGTGGTCCTGAATCAGACTCTGCTGAGGCTGATGAACACTCCATCACTTGGGAGAGGCTATCGAAGTCAGTGTTTACACACACACACACACACACACACACACACACACACACACGCACACACACACACACACACACACACACACGCACGCACGCACACACATACACACACACACACACATATGGACATACAGGACAGATCAAAAGTTTGGACACAACCTTCTCATTCAATGGGTTTCCTTTATTTTCATGACTATTTATGAGGCAATAAAGCCAACTTTAACCTGACAGGTCACACCTGTGAAGTGAAAACCGTTTCAGGTGACGACCTCTTGAAGCTCATCAAGAATGCAAAGTGTGTGCAAAGCAATAATCACAGCAAAAGGTTGCTACTTTGAAGAAACTACAATACAAGGCATATTTTCAGTTGTTTACACTTTTCTGTTTAGTACATATTTCCACATGTGTTAATTCATAGTTTGATGCCTTCAGTGTGAATCTACAATGTCAATAGTTATGAAAATAAAAGAAACTCATTGAATGAAAAGATGTGTTCAAACTTTTGGTCTATACTGTAGCTATAACCCTCCACTCCATCCTCACCCTTCATGTTGTGATGTCTGTATGTTGCTTTTTGTAATTGAGGTGTTTGGGTTTTTTTTTTAATTCTCACTCTGTCCTCTGAAATTTTAGAATGGAAATTATAAAAGAGTAAATTTCATCAAATGTTTCTTCTGTGTTGTCTGTAAACATTTTGTAAAGGCATCTGAAAGTACAGATCTTGTACTTTCAAAGACAACAGAGAAATGTTATTGCAAAGACCTGGGGAGTATTCACACCATTACTGGTAATAAATTCAGAGTGTGTTCTAGTGTATGTGTGTGTGTGTGTGAGCGTGCGTGCGTGCGTGTGTGCGTGTGTGTGTGTGTGTGAGCGTGCGTGCGTGCGTGTGTGTGTGTGTGAGCGTGCGTGCGTGCGTGTGTGCGTGTGTGTGAGCGTGCGTGCGTGCGTGTGTGCGTGCGTGCGTGTGTGCGTGTGTGTGTGTGTGTGTGTGTGCGTGTGTGTGTGTGTGTGTGTGTGTGTGTGTGTTTGCCTCTTCAACATGTTGAGTCAAACCAAAGTTTTGAGGTGTATCGCAGCTCTTTTGCCACTTTGTTTTTGGAGTCATAAATATGGATGTTGAAGTCTCCACCAGATTTAGAGTCATAATTAATGCATGTAACAAGTAAGAGTTCACTAAAGTCATTCAAAAAAACTTTCCACATATTTTGGGATTTCATAGCTGCTCTAGGCATTCATTGAAGTTAATTACCAGATTATAAGATATAAAGTCTATCAGTGTCCGTTAGTAGTTTGGTGTTTTTCTAAAGTCAGTTCATCTGCAGTGTTTGGTGTTTGTTCAATCCCGACCTCTGATCACTGCAGTCCAGGAAACCAGCTTCACATGCAGACAGTAAACATTCTGATAGATTTTTGCTGATCTGATTTGTTTGCCACAGGGAAAGTTATGCTTTGACACACAGCTGACTATTTCTTCACTTCTTGTTCCAGAGAAATGTTCAGTAATAATTAACTGAGCTCGGTCCCTGACTCTTCACTCTCTGGGTGATTTTTGATTCCTGACAACATGGAGGTGAGGTGTCTTCAATTTGCTCTTCTGCTTTGGGTTCCTGGACTGCTGCAAGGTAAGAATAATCAACATCTGATACGGCATATTTCTGAAGTTGTGTCTGATTTTTGCCTGTTGTGGACGATCAGCTCAAGGTTCACAGCCTTGCAGCGCTCCGAGCCTGGATGCAGGTCTTTTCCTCCCGGTGCAGGAATCATATCCTCATGGAACAAAGATCAGTTATTCCTGCAATGAGGGATACAAAGCACAAGGAGGAGGCTGGTGGGGAACAAGCATGTGTCTCGATGGTTTATGGTTTGGTATGCCAGTCTGTATTGGTAAGTGTTTCATTTATTCACTGAAAAGATTTTCTTTAAGTACTTTTATGCATTTTAGTTTAAGACTGAACAGTAAACAGAACCTTGGTCGGATTTCTCATCTTCTTGTGCTGCTTTGAAACTGAATCTGTGACTTTTGGTATTTTTTATCAAAAAGCTTATGCATTTAATTTTCTCCTTTTACAGAAAGTAGTCCTACATGCCGCGCGCCTCCAAGAATATCCAATGCTACCATAATAAATGTGGATTTTCAGAATGCATTTGTTCAAGACACAGAACTGGTGTATCAGTGTAAGGATGGATATACAACAAAGGAAGGAGCCACCAAGAAGTCTGTCTTTTGTAGAGCTGGAGTTTGGACAAACGTCCCAACATGTGGTCGGTGGAGAGCATTCAGACATATACAGAACCTGCCAAGAATATTTAGAACCCAAACATTTTAACATTTTGTCCAGTTAAAATTACAAACTCCAAGTTTGCGAAACCAAGGCATTATAGTGTGTAACTGTTACGTAGGTTTAAAAGGATACAACGTCTTTAAATCTCATAACGGAAAAAAAAGACCTAAAAAGTGCAGTTTGTATTTAATCTTCTTTGATTAAATGTAGTAAAACCAGTTTTCTAATCCTCATTGCAAAACTTTTGGCTGATTTGTTTGCATTCACACATGAACTTCTGGGACATCCTGTTCTTCATCAGCTCAGGGTTTGATACGATGTTGGCCCGGCCTCTGACTTTTCACAGTCTGTGAGAGTGATGATGGGAATTTCTGATCATTCTGTCAGACGTGCATTTGGGGGCTGCGCTTATGACGCCCTGGGCTTTTGCCCATGTTGCCCGTGTCAGAAACCGGCTACGGTTGGCTCCGTAAAACTTACCAGGCGTTTATAACGTCCACAACATGTAAACATTGATATCTCAAAACGAAAGCATGCGGTGTAAATCAAAGTTTTGGTATTTTGGCAATTACATATGGTAAAGTTGTTCAGAAAAACAAAAAATACCACATTAAAGAAAGGACAAAGATTTGCATGTTAAAAAAACATCTGTGGCTGATGTCAGTTGTTCTGATGTTATTTATTGTGTTGTTAAATTAAGTCACATTTAGTTTCAAAAGTAACTGTTTTAAATCACGTTACAATGCCACTGCCCTTCATTTTGCACTTTGCATTTCCTTTAAATATTCAAAGTAAGTTGTGTTCGCTAAAGAGAAAATTTCAAAGTAGAAAACAAAACCTGCGTGAAATGAATATTTGATGTTTTATTCAACACTGTGAGAACGAACAAACATGAAAGCCTCCTTCTGCTCTGTTTGTTTCAGCTCGAGCTGCCGGCCCAGGATCCCCAGACACTCAGACTACTTTCGTATCCAGTAAATAAGCACATTGTTTTCTTCATTTATATTGAATGTATTTATCTAGAATGTAATTAAAACAATCATCTAAGTAATTCAGGCATTATGAGCGTGCAACATGCAAAGCTGAGTCAGACAGAGAGATGAAGTGTTGATCTAAGGAAGTCGACTTTAACAGTTTTATGAAACTCTATTCTTCCTTTTCAGTCGATAATTGTGGAGACATCCCTCATGTTCAAAACGGAGTTGTTGTGGAACAGACTCAACAGTATTTGAAATACGAGTGTCAGAGCTTTTACAAAATGGTGGGTCTTGAGACAGTGGTGTGTTACAGAGGTGGCATTTGGTCCAAAGTCCCCAAATGTAAAGGTAAAAGGAAAATAACACTGAAACTGTTTTATAAAAAAAATAGACATAAAGAAAAATGTTTTCTTCTTTTTTGCAGAGAACTTCTGTCATCTGAACACTGCAGAGTATCCTGACCTAATAAATACTGGCGATGTATTTATCATGAATGGAGAAACAGTCAAACCAGAATGTGTTGATAAATGGATGACTAAATATCACGCTGTGGTTCGATGCATTGAGGGGAAACTCAGTGTTTCCAGATGTAAGTGTCATTGTTTGTGGTTATAATGTGAGAAAATCTATAGGAGTTCTAGGGCTATGAATACTTTTGCAAGCCAGTAAATGTTTACACGTTCAACACGTCAGAATTGAAGGACTGGTTCACTGAAAGGTCTCTGCAGACCTTGATGACAGACTGAGCAACGTTACAGCAGGAAAACATCTCAGACATGCAGGACCCTGCAGGGCTAAACTTAACCACAGTTGAAGCAGACATTGAAACAGCAAAGCATAGAAATTCAAGTGTTTTTTTATTGAAATTTTTTTCCGCTCTTTTTCAGGTTGCAGCTGGATGCAACTTGTGAGTATTAGTGTGTTACTTAAAGATGTTTTTGTTGCTCACATGCTCAGGTATTTCCAAGTACCCCTGATAAAATGGTGTTATTTTTGTGTATTTATTTGTATAAAACATCTGAAGCAGTTAATTTTTTTTTACTCTCTTTACTGTAACCAGCATGGATGCTGAGGCGCCATTGAAGATCTGACTGTCTTGGGCTGAGCTGATGGACTGAGAGCAAATGGAAACATGAACCCATTTGAAACAACTTGAGATTGAATGCGTTGCTCACCACCAGGCTGGATGTTTTCATTATGTTCTGCCACTATAGCATGTTCTGTATTTAGATTGTTCCAGTAGCATTTCTATAGTTATGCGTTTCAACCAGAGAATTGT